TTGTCCATCTGCATAAGCATAATCTTTAAGCGTAATCTAAGCGTTAGACTTAAAACTTTATTTCATTTTCTCATATGCCTGTTAAAAGGAAACATCGTGATTTCCAGTAATCAGTTACGTACTATATAAATCTTAAAATGCACGTTCAGAGGAAGGACCTAATAACTTACATCGACTTTAGCCAAAGTTCAACTTTAGGCAAGGTAAGAGCGCTTCATACGGCTCTTATACTATAAATGGGGGTATGAATGCTGAAAGTTTGGGTATGAATACTGAACGTTTGGCTATGAATACTGAAAGTTTGGATATGAATACTGAAAGTTTGGATATGAATACTGAAAGTTTGGCTATGAATGCTGAAAGTTTGGGTATGAATACTGAAAGTTTGGCTATGAATACTGAAAGTTTGGATATGAATACTGAAAGTTTGGCTATGAATGCTGAAAGTTTGGGTATGAATACTGAAAGTTTGGCTATGAATACTGAAAGTTTGGCTATGAATGCTGAAAGTTTGGCTATGAATGCTGAAAGTTTGGCTATGAATACTGAAAGTTTGGCTATGAATACTGAAAGTTTGGTTATGAATGCTGAAAGTTTGGCTATGAATACTGAAAGTTTGGCTATGAATACTGAAAGTTTGGCTATGAATACTGAAAGTTTGGCTATGAATACTGAAAGTTTGGCTATGAATACTGAAAGTTTAGCTATAAATACTGAAAGTTTGAGTATGAATACTGAAAGTTTGGATATGAATACTGAAAGTTTGGCTATGAATGCTGAAAGTTTGGGTATGAATACTGAAAGTTTGGCTATGAATACTGAAAGTTTGGGTATGAATGCTGAAAGTTTGGCTATGAATGCTGAAAGTTTGGCTATGAATACTGAAAGTTTGGCTATGAATACTGAAAGTTTGGCTATGAATGCTGAAAGTTTGGCTATGAATACTGAAAGTTTGGCTATGAATACTGAAAGTTTGGCTATGAATACTGAAAGTTTGGCTATGAATACTGAAAGTTTAGCTATAAATACTGAAAGTTTGAGTATGAATACTGAAAGTTTGAGTATGAATGCTGAAAGTTTGGGTATGAATGCTGAAAGTTTGGATATGAATACTGAAAGTTTGAGTATGAATGCTGAAAGTGGGTGTATGAATACTGAAAGTAGAAATGTGAATTCTAATTATGAAGAATAAATGCTTAGAATGAGGTATGAAGTGCGGATAAAAATGTCCAATGAGAGTATGAAAGCTTGAAAGGAGATATGGATAACGAAAGTGAGGTAGGGTATTGCCCCTACGTACAAAACTACGTATGCTTCTTGCATAGAAATAACAAACACGAACATAGTTCACGTCCATTTCGATCTCTACCGCGACTTGATAAGTCGAGTCTTTCAAAAGGTTATTATTCACATTCACATTTAAAGCCATTTCTAAACGTTTAAATATGATTTGAGGACTTATGATTTGAGGATAATGCTGAATGTTGAGATATGAATACTGAAAGTTGAGATATAAATACTGAAAGTTTAGATATAAATTCTGAAAGTTGAGATATGAATACTGAAAGTTTAGATATAAATACTGAAAGTTTAGATATAAATACTGAAATTAAGATATAGATAATGAAAGTTAAGATGTAAATATTGAAAGTTGAGATATAAATACTGAATGTTGAGATATGAATACTGAAAGTTGAGATATAAATACTGAAAGTTTAGATAAAAATACTGAAAGTTGAGATATAAAGGCTGAAAGTTGAGATATAAATACTGAAAGTTAAGATATAAATACTGAAAGTTAAGATATAACTTAGAGTTACTAATTTGAACTTTGTCATACGCATATTTTCCCATCCTGTGATTTCAAAGTTCAAATTAGAAAGTGAATGGAAAATTAGAAAATGTGTGTAACTACCGATATTTGTGAAATTCATTTTTTAAGCTAATATAGGACAGAATTTTCATGTCCAGAAAAAGTATATCTAATAACAAACTCATACTTTCTTCCTTTTTGGTTTGATTTTAGATACATGTAATTAAAAACTGATTAATGAATTACATAATACCATAGATATCATTTTTGACGTTAGAGGGGAATGATTAATTAAATTTTTATATTAAAATGGTGATGTAACAGAGTTTAAAAGAGTATAAATATGGTGTGTTAATGAAGGTAGAGTATCACAATTCTTACAACCTTCTTACTACCAACACCACAGCTTCATCAGCTATACCTGGTAAGTAGACAACCCTATATTATTCCATAGCCTTGTGATATACAAACTTAAATGAGTAAAAATACAAGAAAACAACGTTGGATCAAATGAAATTCAGTTCACAGCTATAATATAATACATTATTCTATTTTCCAGAAACCAAAATGAACAAGATCTTTGCCGTCGTTCTCTGTTTGGCCTTTGCCTCCATGGCCTTGGCTGGTAACCCCCTGATGATGGGTGGTTTAGGAATGATGGACCCCTATATGATGGGTATGATGAACCCCTATATGATGGGTATGATGAACCCCTACATGATGGGTATGGGAGGTTTAGGTATGATGGGAATGATGAACCCCTACATGATGGGATATGGTGGACTCGGTATGCTCGGTGGTTACGGTATGATGGGCGGTCTTGGTATGATGGGTAAAAAATAAGGTACGTGAACGATATTTTCTCTAACCGGGTGATTGAGGTATCGGATTATCGTGACACTTTTAAAAAACTGTATTTGTGCTTAACACATTTAGCCAGGTGGGCAAGAGAGCTTCATATGTGAAATACCACTGTTATACCATCTGATTATATTGTGTTTGGTTTGATAGAAATACATTAAGCGACAGAAAGGTGTGTGCCAACACAGTTAATGTGATTTGAATATTCATCTTTTAGTCAAAACAGTTAATAGCAGTTTTTATTATTTTACTTTCAGATTCCAATCAGCAGTATTTATATATTTGAAATATGGAAATAAATATTTATTTTTTACAAAATATTTATCTTATCTTTTGCTTTTTATTTGCAGGAGAGTCGATAACATTTGTACACATTTCAGAGATCCAACACATGGTTAGTCTCTCCTATCGTTTTATCGTTTGAGCACGTAGGATACAGGTTTCAGTAATCCTTCTAACGCGCCCACCCTTTCCAGTAAGATACATGTATCTGAAAGAATTGGACTAGGATCGGAATTTTGTCTTTAACTTAGTATCCTGGAGGAATTTTCGAAGCATTCTGCATCCTACAGAATTCATTACAGCATAGCTAAACCGTCGTTAACCATAATCCTACTTCCATTGACCAGCCTGTTGATATCCGTGTTTCAGATCTCTATAAGGTCAATGATTAGAGAAACTACAGATTAACTGATAAATACCGGAAGTTATGTAGATTAAACATTTGATTTGAATTAGGTCGGCTGTCTCCGTCCTATTTATCTTCAAAATCGATCTGACTTCCTACTAAAAACATTAACATGTCGAAGTCGGTCAATTTCCTCGTCAATGCAGTCGGGATGATTCCTGGATATAGCGAAATAACATAATCGACATGTAGTCCGGTGAATCCAGACGGTACTAGAACGAACATTAGTACTTAAGATCTGGATGTACATGACTACTTTACTCGGAAATAGTAAAATAGAATCATGGTGCCGTGGCAACATGAAAAAAAAGAAGGCAGGTTATGAATTACCCTGGTAATTTTCGCGCCAAACAGATCAATAGCAGACGACACAACAAAGTCAGATTATTGGCTAATAAAAAACCAACACAAATCATTACAGTGTATATTTTTACATCAATCACATCGATACAGTTGGCTTGAAGGGTGATTACCAAGTGGGTCATCTTAATCTGAATACATATTTACTTTACCATGAAGTGTTTTTTTTTATATACAGATATCTATGAGTGGACAAAGAAGTGAGTCGAGTGGTTACTAATCAAAATACCGTCCAAGACATTAGAATTAATTTCTTGACTTTGGAGGGAATCGAAAATATTCATGGAGGCTTAGCTATTTGATTCGACTGTTTTGAGGAATTGTCGGCCTCCTTCTCAGAATGAACATAAAATTCAAATTCTCAAACTTGACCAAAAACAGTAAAAATGTGTGTTCATCTGGGTACTTACCTGGTCTACAAAATGTACAACATACATTCCACTAAATACATAAAACTACCTAATAATTAACAGCGATTTTTTACATTTCCTGTAGTTTTATAAAATATTTCTTAGTTTTTTTTTGGATTTATCAGATTATAAAGGTCTCTGTTGTATTACGACCAGAGGTAGATATTATAGATATAAAAAGCATGTTTTAGAAATATTTTCAGGTATAATTTACAACGTTTTTGATAATGAACAATTTGCATACTGCGCGTTTAAGATTGTCTAATGCTAATGGATAATGAATACAAAACAGAACAGAAATGAAAAATTGATAGGCCTATGACTGATTACTAGAAAACATGTTTGGGCAAAAAATCTGTCTTGAAATAAACACCAGCGTAATAAAGAGGTCAGATGCAGTGCGTTTGTAGTAAATGTTATCACTCATGTAGAACGAATGACATCATTCTTGACAAGTACTTGAATTCTGATTGGTTAAAAAGGAAGTCAATTGGTGTTTCCTGGGTATCAGCTGCCATCATATCGACAGTGACAAAACAAACTTCGATATTTGTATGACTGACGTAACTTGACCTCTAAAGCTAGATACTGATATTTAAGGGTTACGCCCATCGTACGTTAAATAGATCACTACAATTTTCCAAAATACATGTATGTTACACGCATAATTTATAGCAATCCATAGAAAAGCAGTCTTCATGAAACATTACATAAGACTAGAAAAATCATATCTTATATGATATATATATATATATATATATATAAGAGTTGGTTATCTAATATTACAGTGGTATCAGGTGCACCCGAATGGAGAGCATGCCGTATTTATAAGTTATAATTCTAATGGTGCTTAATATGGTTTTTTAGTCATAGAATCACAACCCTGGAGCAATTTAAATCGGTCGAAATGGGAGATTCTTTAAATTGTTTATAAGAATATGTCATATTCTCCTTATGTTTTCCAAATCCATATTGCAATTTCACAATATAGTCCACAAAATGTTAAATCAAGGATTATAATATGTTAAAAGTGGGGTGAGGATAGGGGAGGGGGTCATCGAGAGTGTAGCTTCACGTTTTTATCACTACTATTTATAGCTCTTTACGTGTAGGTTTATCAATATTTCTATTTCACTATCTGTGATTTTTACCCCTTTTATATGATTTATCCGCAGTAATAGGCGAGAGAGTAGACCTGAATGATCGGGACAATCGTAGTTTTAAAAATATTAAAGATATTGCATTCTTTTGTAATAAGAACATATGTACAATAAAAATTATCATATTGTTCTCCCAAGAAGGAATCGGACCACAATGTATGTTCAAAGATGAGACAACTCCATAATTCCATACCACAGTTATTATATAAGTATGAAAGTTAATGCGCGCGAAATTTAAAATTGACTATGAACGTCGATTGAAAAGACCTTGTATAATAGGGCAGAAATTCGGTCAGGGATAAAACTAAGACGTAGAAACCTTGTATATTTGCCAAGATTAGTGCATTCTGTTATAATATCTGTTAAAAAAAATATTACATGCGCATTAAGAGAACAGCAAGATAAAGTTACTTTTCGAATTTAAGGCAAATTGTAAGACAAAGAGGAGTAGATATAGATAATATAGGTTACCACTATCTAAACCTTACAGACGGCTTAGAAGGGTGGGCTTCTAACGACTCATTAATGCATATGACAATGATTCTTTAACATCCCATTGTTTTTTAATTGGGGAAATATAGGCTAAGTACGTTACTTAATTTCAAAGTCATTGTTGTAAATTGGGTGTTCTCCTTTAATAAAAGCCTAATACAGTTCTTTTCAAGTTCGCGTGCATAACCTAAATATAGAACTGTTTCATTATTTTCTGTTTCTTTCCCCTATTGTTATTATTTATGCTTTCTGACCTCCATTCACATTACCAGAATAAATTAACCGAATTCCTGAACCATTCTAGGAGAAAAAATTGGTCGATATCGGGGTACAGATGTCAATAATACGTTTTTTATTAATTGCGAACAATAAAATAGTGAGGTAATATATGAAATTATTACTCTGGTTTTCCACATTTTTCTATCACATTTCAATAGGCTAATGAATTAACTTTTAGATTCTAAAAGCACACAGAGGTCTGTTGGCTATTTACATCTGGACTTTAGGTGAAGAATGATACCTGGTTTGAACCACTCCAAGCATTCGTTATGGGTTGAATATTTTTGTGTTTTCTCATTAATCTATTTATCATTCCAAATTCTTTTTGTAAAATGTGTTTGATAATACACCTAAGAAATGGGAAATTTGATTTAAGAACTTCATAAAAGCATCATTTCATTTGATCCAAAATATCTCGAGGTCTAAACAATTTTGTAGCCGTATCGGCTAAGAACGTATCTCTTTTTATATCACAAAAAACGTTTCCATCTAGATATTTAACTAAAGATAACCAACATAAAATTCATATAGACACAGCTTTATGGAGCAACAATCACTGTTTGAAGTTTTATGCAACGTTTCGACGTATTTCCCCGTCGTTCTCTGGCACAGAATGATAAGAGGTAATGCCTAGTTCACACCAACGGCTAATGCTGCGCTTTAAATCGGCGAGCAAAGCGCCATCATTTTTTGTTTACTTTTCCAAAAATATCACGATCTCCTAAGTAATGTTACGCTCTGATAAGCTCTGATACGAATTGGTTACGCTTTGGGAACGAATTATTTCCCGATTTGATCAGGCCTTGTTACGCTTTAAATCACGCTTTGATAAGCTTTATTAAGCTTTGATGCGGTTATGACGCTTTAAATCACGCTCTGATACGATTATCAAGCTCTGTTGTGCATTGCTAAGCTCTGTTACGCATTGGAAAATTTCGAAATGGCCGATTTCATGCCGCTTTTGATCAAGTGATGACAGACCGTGAAGACTGGGGTCCCCGCTTTGAATAAAGCTATGTTAAGCTTTCCTATGCTTTGAGTCAAGCTTTGCTGAACTTTGTTACGCTTTGTTAAGCTTTGATACGTTCTCGGCGCTTTAATCAATTCGTGACAGAGCGCCCAAAATTTTAAACAGTTTAAAATTTTTTGGCGCTCTTGCCGAATATCCAGCTTTGCTCAAAGCTTTCCAACGATCTATCACGACCCTGGCGCTTTAGTCGAGCTTTGTTACGCTTTGGTACCGCTTTTTACGCCGCTTTAAAGCGCGATCAAAGCGCCGTTGGTGTGAACTGAGCATAATGAAAACACAAGAGATGAAAGCTTTATTAGTTCATTACATTACATTTGTACAGGTACAATAAGAGGTACATAATTCTTAAAATAACATAATATAATTCGTCAGATTGAGTTTAAAAAATTAAAAATATTGAAAAAGTGGTGGAGAAACAATAGGCTATCTTATCTAAAAAAAAAAAAAAAGACACTTATATGAACAGTTGAAGGGAGATAACTACAGTTTTTAGATTTCGATGACTGATTGAAGGGAAGCAACTCTCGTTGAGTGAACCGGAAGTATTTAACTTGTCAAACTGGTTAGAAAGTCGAAATTCTATCCAAAATTCTTAATGTGACTGTTTTGAGATCAAATAATTCGTTTACGTTCGTTAAAGCTCAAGATCGAACGATGTTTTATCCAAGAAAATGGAGGACGACCCTAGAAACAAAAAGAAGCCGTTTTATGGAGCTTTAAAATCAGGTGGGTGAATTCATCCTCTTGAACCTCTTCTTCAACCGTTCATGTTGACATTTTGTTGTAATGTTGTGTCAATTTCTCATAATCTCTTTATTCAAAAGCGCTTACGCACAACGAGGCCATATTTAAATTGTCGAATAATTTGTGCAACGGGCTAATTTGAGTGGGAGGATGGTGTATGCAGGGCAAAGACACAAAGTTATCAAAACAGAAACCAGTTACTTGACTTTTCTTCTTCAACTTGATGTTCTCAACTTCTGTTCTACACCTACTTGAAGAAATTTATTAAGTTGATTCAAATGTATGACGGTAACATTTTAGTACTGTAACTGTAACATATATAAAAATCTATTCTACTTTCAGTTGGTCGAAGTCCTAATTCTGATTCTAAGATGTATGAAAGACGTCCAACTCGAGGATCTGGGTCTGATTCCCAAGTAACAGACTATAATATTGTTAAAACACAGCAATTAATTGACGGTCATGTTGAAAAATACTGCCATTTTGCTGGAGTTGTGAAAGACATTAATCCCCACATTGATATCACTAATCGTACTGATGTACTCAGACTAATTGATATGGGAAAACAACATGGTCATATTATCTATCATAATGTCAGTGAACGACTTTCTGTGTTTAGTCTCAGTGTGAATAACATTAAAATAATCCCAGTTCGAAATGAAGAATTACCCATATTTTTACGTATTTCTATGCAGGAAATAGCTGCCATTTGTTACATTAAGGATGATGCACAGCATATTCTTGCTATAAAATATGGTTCTACTATTTTATGTCACCTGGCAGTATTGTATGTTGATAGTAAACATATAGCAGAGGAAATCTGTTCTTTGGTTGACGTGTGTTTTCAGTTGATTTATATGGAGGCTGCTATTGATATTATAGATACATCCAATCCTGGTGATAGTTCTCGTAGCAACTCGACAGGGTCAGCTAATCCTCCATTCATCAGTCCATCATTTCGTCCTATTTCTCAAAATGATGTGAACCAGAATCCAAGTAGGCCATCTTCTATTCGTCGTCATGGTCGCCGTGTTCCCAGTGATCCCAGTACAAGAGGAAGCGATACTGGCAGTATATTTCAAGAATTGTTGCATGATTACATGGTAAAACTACATCAGAAACTAAATTCTGAAGAACTTCGACAATTTGCATCTTATCTTCCACAATTAACGAAATCGAAAAATGAATTTGAGGAATTTTGTGAAAAAATTTATGACCTGTATGGACCTAACAGAATATATCTTCTAGCAGAGATGAGCCCCTTTATTCCTCAAGATAATTACCCACATTTTGAAGAGTTTTTGAGAAGTAAGGGACTGCCTCTACCAGATAGTGGTACCATATCAAGTGCCCACAGTAATCCTGCCTTATCAGCCCCATTTAGCGACAGTGGGTTAGGTAGTGGCAATGAAAGTTTAGAACATATTATGCAGATTATGTCACATGTTCATACTTTAGATGCAAGTAATGATGTGGATTATAGTCCAGATAAATTCATGCCTGGACCAGATTATAATAGTTAAATATGTGTGTATAAAACCTGTACCTTTAGTGCTACATTTGATTGAACTCAATTAAAGAGAATTATATCCCTTTACTAACATCTCCATATAAAATATAAACAAATACTACATGAATTAGCTGAAAGTGGCAATATTAGAATACCTGTATATAGACAAAGAAGTTTGTTATAAAGCTTCTTAACACCACTTTTAGTCTATAGTTATTTTAAGAATAACATTTTTATTTAACATTGTTTTGGTTTCCGTAATTTTACATTATATCATTATATATTACCTCTAAATGGAATTTGAGACACTAGTGGATGGATTTTCAACCTTTTTCTTTCTATTACCCCTTTCGGAATCCTTGATTGATTGCATTACCCCCCTTCCCCCAATAAATCTGTACTATTTCATGATTTTCCCTGCAATCTTTTTCCTGTCAGAAAATATATCCTAACTGAAGAGAATGACTTATTATATATGATTGTCCAAAAACTTTTATGCTAGACTAAAAAGTGTCTCATTTCCCCCTAAATATTTAAAAATTATCTCCCTAAGGGTAAAGCACGGACACACACAAGATTTTACTGAAGACTCTATAATCGGCAACAAAAAATCTACGACTAAGACTGCTCAAGTGCTCTCACCTTTAAAGACCATTGTGTCAAGGATTCAGATTATAGAATGATTTCAAAAGGTAAAGGAAATGATATTTAAATTTAAAAACTGCAGTGTATTATGTTTATATGTAATATAAAACAATTATTTTGAGCTTTGTATATTGTATGTGTTAGAAAATAATTGTTATTGGCTTGTCACAGCTGGTGATTTTATTCATTTTATAATACAATTTGCTCATTTGATAAAATTTGTAGAAAATCTATAAACTTATATTGAGGGTTGGAATAGAAAAGAACTACAATCTAAATTAAATTAAAGTTTTATTCATATTTTGTTCAGTGAATTAATTGTTTTCTGAACACAGTTTTGAAAAATTTGTTGTTGTTATTATAAAGAGCTATTTGTTATAATCAGTGCTTTTATTTTCTATGTTTTTGCTATATTAATAGAGTAGCAGCAAACTAGGCCCTGATCAATTTTGATATTCTTTAATCGCTTTTGTATCTGTAATTCATGCATTAATTAACCACTATTTAATTTCTGACAGCAAATTCTTGTTATTGTGCAGAGCATTTTAATTCTGATACAGATTTTATTGTGAATAATGGCAATTTGAATGTTTTTTTGAAACTTCATTCTTGTTATGGAATTGTTATATTTTGTTAAAACTTGCTTGAAAGAATTCAACACAGGCAATCATAAACTCTTAGACACAATTTTAAGTTTGTGTCAGACATCTGTAGTACCCTTTATTCCAGATATATTAACTACATGATGACACTGTTGCAAATAACACTCATACCAATTACTTGGTTTTTGCCATTCTTTCATCAAACGTGGTCAAAGTTTTTCAGTAAGCTTAATTACAGGAAAAACAGAGGTTGGTTGGTATATAGGAATGTTGCTAATAGAAGCTATGTCCCCAACACACACCGGTAGACTAGAAGACCTCTTGTCAATTCTCGTAATGATCCGGTACACACTAAAATCACAGTGTAAAGGCTTTAATAACTAAAGAATGATCAACTGTTTGTTATGGAATTTTGTAACAAGGACTGTTTATTTAGACAATTACATTACAAGCACATGATGAAAATAAAATCCATTTAAATATATAACTATTCATTTTATATTGATATTTTATTTATCAATGCCCTTGAACAATTCAACCCTGCTTCTTACTCTTCTAGGACAGTTGGAAATAGAAGAAAGAGTATGCAAATATCACTGTTATGGCTAAATGTCTTTGTAAGCCAAATGTGCAGGAAATACATGAGATAGATATTTGAGTATCAGTGACCCATACCAAGTCCAGATTGTTTTCCTGAATCTTACATTCAATGACTTGAGGTCAGTTGGGCTATCTCAGGTCAATTATACAGTCATCCTTTCCTCTTTAATTGACAAGGGTTAAGGTCATCTTTGATGTCTCCAATGTCAATTAGTCAAAAGTTTATTGAAATGTAATTTATTTTGGGCTATGCAGGTCTTGTCAAATGTGATGACCTGTTTTGAAATTACTTTCAATGAATTTCATTAATATTGATTAATAAAATTATTATTGCTTTAGAATGGGTACAGGGTAAAATTCCAGCATAAATCAAGATAATACTTTCAGATTTTTCCTGTCTGAGGGGATAACATGGATAAAGGAAATAAACCAAGGCCCTGTGTGCTACAGATTGTATATAAAAAAAAAAAGACTTATACTGCTGTCTTTGCAAATTTCTCACTTTGCACACTACTTGGCATTTGCTTTTCTATTAGCTCAATAGCACTGCTATTAAAGTAAGACGTAAAACTAAATTTTAATTTTCAAATATCCATGATAAGATAAGTAGAGACTTGTTCTTGCTAGGTAATATTAGAGTATATTATCAATAGTGTTTATTTAAACATTAAGAGTGTATATTATCATTTATCATAATCAGGAAGTTATGATTGAAGGGGTGAAAGGTGAAGATATATCTATAATAAACTTATCACCTTGTGTGAGCAATTTAGAAAATTATTATGAAAGAATATTACACAGTATTGTCATGCTATCAGAGAAACTCAGACAATCAGAAATGGGTTAGAACAATCAAATTATCAGTAAAACTCTGAACGCCTTATTTCCGTTCAATGTGATGCCCACTTATATGAGTACTGTGATTAGTGCTTCTGACAAAAAAAGACATGTTCTCTGTTCTATTACCAAATGATGATATATCTGCAACCATTTTGCCACTCTCGGATATTTTTGTATCTCAAAATCAGTTTAATTAAGAAAGAAAATTGTCTGCTTAAATATAAGCTGAGCTGCCTGTCTATTAAATTGAGCTTCATAATAGTATATTTTCTATTGTTGCAAAAGTTTTGTGCATCCATTGTTATACAAACTATTATAAATTATCACGTAAGAAAACTATCCTATTCTCACTGTGTCAAGTCACACCCAATTTTGTTTTTCATTTTAGGTATTTAACTCAAGAAAATTTTTTTTTTCTGTCAGTTAATGCGAAATATTAATTAGTTTGATATCATCATTAGATTTTAATTACAGTAGATGTCTTAATTAATTACAAACCACACCTATAAATACTATTACTGTTTAACTGTACAGTATATATACAGGTATTGATCAAACTAACCTACAGACCTACATTTTATACGTATAGTCAAATTATGCGCATATCAGTCAAATTATTATGCTCTTTAAGTATGACCTCCAGTGCTCAAAAGGCCAAAAGGTCTATGACTTCTCAAGAAAAGAAACATGTTGTTAAACGAAATAACCTCTCTTACAATTAAGTGCAGGCTAAACACTTGCCTGTCATAGATTGAAGGTCAAGTATATAAGATAGTGACAAGTTAAAACAAAGAACAATTACATCTTTCTTTTCCCCTACCGCCTACTTCATATTACACTAATTCACTTATTATTAGTTTTTAATTTGTCATCATTATACAGATAAATACAAATTTAGGAATTGAGGGATAACATGTGAATTGAGATAATTGTGAATTGTGAAGTAGCTAAAAAAATCTGTAGCATTGCAGCTTCCTCAACTATGTCAACAAAAACTCTGGATTAAGCTGAATTTTTCCAATTTCCACAAAAAAAACTGATTATACCTATTATATTTTGGCTTTCTCGAGCTTTATGCTATGGTCCTACAATTCTTTGCTTTATATTCAAGTATCATTATGAATTCAGATAATTCCAAGTTTATCACAAAATACAATGTTGATTTCATGTTGAATTAACATGTTTGTTGATATTATATCATTTAGTTATTCACACTATCAGCTGATAGAGCTTCATTTCAGCTACCTATTGTCTGTAAACTATATACATATAAAACCATTTCTAAGTATGAAAAGAACAATTGTTCTTATTCAAGTTCCCAGACAATACATTTTGTCCAGAGAACTTTCATAGACTATTCTGTTCATTTATTCCAGGAATCAGCAATTATATTCTTAACAAAATCAATCACCACAGGCAGCAACACTAACTAATTTGAAGTGTTCTGGATGCAGTTTCACAATAAATCTTACAATCAATTGTGTTACGAGTGTGGTTTTTCTCAATGTAAAATTCCACTTACGACAAACTCCATCTTCTAAACAATCGGTCAAGGTATTACTAACTTCGTTCTACTATAGCCACTGTTCTTATATCACAGAATGCAGCAATTTGATTGGATTCTTTCAACTTTTTTGAGAAAAAGATCAGATTTTAACTTTCGAATAATAAGGAAATAGAAATAAATTTTAATATATACAAAAAGTAATAATTATTATAATATAATATACATGAATAAACACATCAACAAAACAATTTACATTGCTACATGTAGATATACTGCACTTCTATACCAGGCCATTTAATTACCAAAACATGCCATTATACAGAAGGACGTCTGCACACAGGGGCAAATGGAAGTCACTTGATCTCTCCAGGAAAAATGGAAAATTGGAAATTTTGAGCAGTTTTCTAAATGCTATAATGTTGAAGTAACTGCTTAGATTTATTTCAAAAATAACCTTTACATATTAATTCAGAATGTATCATTTCCAGATCAAATTTTCAAAATTTATTTACCTATGACCCCCCCCACCCCCCCCCTAATAAATATTCTGAGGATGCCATTGATTTGACCAATTTCTAATTTTCAGTTTAAATTTTTCATTCTTAGGCCTTTTTCTCGAAAACTTAATTTAAGATGATTTTAGCGTTCTAATATTTTGTTTCTATTTAAGATTTATGCCATAAGCTATCTTTTTGTCTCCAATATGTTTTAAACAATATACATGTATATATCACATAAAAACATAGAAGTCACAGAATATTGAAGTATATGTATCAAATAACAAATTTGAGAACAATTAAAGTCAAAACAAGTGAAAAATATAATAGACAATTTCCCTTGAATCTAACATCACTTGGTGATAACCATTGATAACTTATATAGAAATGTATTTGTAAAGTGCTAGTGAATGCTTACATTAGAGCAGTAATGAGTGCTATACTAAGTTCTTTAATCTTAATTATTGCTACAGGTCAGTCAAAATTATTGTTGAATAGAGGTGAATTTTGTTGATTTGATGAAATTTATAAAACTTTATACAGGTGACTGTACAAGTCCACATTACACAAGTTACTGTACAAGTTTATCTCATAATTAACTGTTGTTAATATCAACATAATATAATCACAATATCACAGTCATAAATTTATCTTTGTCAAAATGTATCCTTTTATGGGTGAGAACAGTTAAAACAACTGGGACCAACTCTCTGCACTGGCAGTGGCATCAGAATTTTTCTTACTTTGAGGGAGATTTGAACCCATAGGACTGTGAATTATTATTTAATATATTACTTTGAAGAATGTCCTGAACTAAAGTTATCTTACTCTTAAGGACATACAGGTCAAGTTAAATACAAGTATATACCTAAAAACAGTTTATAATAGGTAAGGTGTCGGTAATATCCAGTTCACAGTGACTCATGGTCATATTATATTCATGACCTCAAGGGTGAAAGTTGACACTAAGACACTTTAATCTACCTATTCTCAGTCTAGGGCAGGATTTGCTTAATCTTCAAAATACTCAACAATATTCTATGGATGTGAAAGTTTGTCCTCTTTTAAAAAATATGAAATGCATTCAAATTCTACTCAAACAGATATAATTTTTCATGTATCAAAACTATCATTGAAAGATTAAGTTGGGTATGCTAGAGTAAACATCATGCCCCACCCCCCTTGTCTTTCTTCTTTTTTAATTATTTTTCATATATTTTCTACATGTAAGATATTAAACTATTAGATTTAACCATAGACTGTAGAAACTGTATGTAATTGAAATACCAGTTGTTAATAAATATTAATAGACCATATCCTCAAAGTTATAAAAACAATTTCTATATGTGTACTTTCTACACTTGTAATTTTAGATATAGTTTTATAATATTATAGTATCAATATTTCAAAAATTCTTATGTTATTTATAGGCTCTGTATTCCCTTTTAAATGTTTTCTCATAAGACAAAACGCCCAATTACTCCAATTTTTATTTCCAAAACTGTTAACCCCACAAGACTTAATCTCTTTGATTGTTTGTAAGAGTCCATTTTGAGACATGGTATGCTTTTAACCCAATAGAGCAAACCCTGTTTCCTCAACTCTTTCTATCTCAAATAGCAACTCTGGTCACCTCAAAAGCCCTTTCTATAGACAACCCTGAAACCTCTTCTCAAAAGCCCCTTTTCTGACAAATCCTTATTGAACGAAATCCTATTAATTGCTGTACATGTATCAACAGAGTCAAACATTACATGTATTTAACCATTGAATAAAATCAATCAGGCGTTTTCAGGCAGATAATTGAGCGTATACCTTCATTCTTTATCTAGGTATAAAATCTCACTATACATCAAAACATGATCAATTTCAATACATGCACCGCTATTTATATGAATATTACTTGTTGACAATATTGCTAGTATTAAATAATACTGAATAAATTACCTGCTTATATGTAATGAACAGTTGTCAGGTGTGTAATCAGTTTGTGTACTATGCACAGTGTCTTATTTGTTTTAAAACAGTCTTAGTCAGGACGTAGAGCCTTGGTTCAAAAAATGGCACTAGAAGCTTACAAATAAGGAAATAGAATTTTGGTCAAATTTAAGCAAAAATTATCTGCAGAAATTTCAGAAATTTGAGCTACGTTCTGCACCTGATACACCTGATGAAGTATAATTCAAAACTTTCCTTTATAATAAGAGATCAGGTAGCAACATGTTAATGTACATACAGTCATGCATTCACCTGTAAATATACCATAAATAGAATAAATGTAATGAAGAAAAGATAGCTCTATAGAGGTTATATATCATAACCAAATACATAATACGTGTATAATATCTGACATAACATAATAATATTGATAAGATAATCTCATCCATAAAGTTGAAGGGAAACAGTCCTCTTATCTCCCTCTTTAACAACCAGCTATCTGTGAATACATACAGTATTTTTGAAAAATTATTTAGTTTTCCCATATTTTATCACATTTAATATTTGCTCAGAAAATTGACACCTAATTCAAGTAATGTCATCTCTTTAGGAAGAAATATCATGGACCCGAATCAAAATAAAGCATGTAGTTCTTGTTTGTTATTATCTCTTCAATATATCTTTCTATTACAGATTTAAGTAATAAATATTCTAGACATCAACACGATTATTCCGCATACATTTTGTTTCTTAAATATGAATACAAATTTTTATTTGTTATAAACAAACCATAAAAAGCTGATACAGGGACAGATAAGAGTATTGAATCCATTTAAATCATATTGGATCAAAAGAAATATTTTGGCATGCTGGATCAAAATAAATTAGATTAGAAATAGATGAAATTGAAGCTTTATCAAAGTCTTAAATAATTCAAATATTAACAAAATATACACTAAATTTATAAATCATATAATAATAACAGTATTCTTATATTTCCATTAATAACAAAACAAACAAAATATATTTAGTAATTTGTGCTGCTAAAAAATTGCAAAACAATTATAATCTAGTAAAAAATGTAATCTAGTAATTCCATAGCCATTGTTTCATAGCACACATTTTATGTCACAAAAACCTTTACATATTTTCTGAATCATAGAAAATTAGTAGTTGCCATATTTGCACACACATTTGCAAAAATTTAACATATTCTACAATTTGTTTTAAATCAGTAATAAAAATACCATATAAGTTCACAGTGAACATTAAATTGTCATGAATTGACTGCAATATGGCAGTTAAATCCATAAACTTAAGGATAACAATCATAATATCAGCCCAAAAGTATAGTGTGATTGAAAAGACTTCTGTCTAACCTGCATGAATATTAAAGATATACTTCATGTTCAGAGAAAAAACTAATAATAGACATACCGGTATTGTATGACATAAACTGTTTTGACTGACACTTTGAAAAAGTTTTTACCTGAAGTCTATGCGTTGTCAAACATGGCAAGTGAAGCCTCCAATTTACTCGTAATTTGTTTATAGAATTCAATTTGTGATTTCAGATAATTTTGCATCATATCCTTATAGTCCTTAACACGTTCATGGTGAAAATTATGCATCTCTGCTAAAGTTCCAAAAGAAATTGTATCTGCCCGTTGCATCACATTTTGAACCTCTCCATCCGTCATCTTTCCTTCTTCTTGTAATTTCAAACAGTCCTTAGTTTTTCCCACTGCCCCCTCATGAACTTTTAACACATCAGGATAGGTTTGCAGGATTCCGCGATATTCGGATAAGGACTCAATCAAAGGGAAAAGGTCTTTAGGGGGCTGCTTTTCAAACATATCACCAATTGAACAATAAGAATCACCCATGAAATCAATGGCCTTGGTTAGCTGCAAAGAATAGGCTCCTTCTTCCAGAGCAAATGTGGTTGACAAATTTTTATAAGAATGTCCTATTTTTTGAAATTCTCTTTTAAAAGGCCCCATGTGTTTTTTACTAAAGTCATTATTAATGGCAATTATCGATTTACAGTTCTCATTCATGTTCATAACAAACCGACAAAAAACTTCCATTTGTGCTTCAACAGCTTTCATATCACAAGAATGGGGAGGGGTTTGTAAACACAAGAAAAACTTTCCAGCCAAATACGGATCTTTCTCTGCTTTTCGCTTTCCCTCTTTCCATTTTTTATCATTTGTACAGGTCAAGAAATGAAGCATGACGTCTGAATGAGCTATAACAGGATGTCTCACCATTCTATCAATCCACTGCTGTAGCATTCTCATCCTTTCCTGAATAAAATCTTCTTCGTAACGACCAGAGATTTGTTTATCGGGCAATGCTGGTATCGGTATACAAATAAACTTCTCCACTAATCTCTCATGTAACCAATCAAAATGTTTGTATCTTCGACTCACTTGAATATTACTAAAAGATGGAGTCAAATGATAGGTAATAAAACTTTTAAGTCCTTTCATCTTTGATTCCTTTTTAGGTGAAGAAACTGTACAGGTGTAAGGACTTTGAAGTGGAGTCCATTCAGGTCCATCATTTGTTTCTATAATTTTAATCAAGTCTGTTTCACGAACTTCATGGTTGACTTGACCCATGATATACGCATCTCCTCCCAACTTCACGAAATGTGAGAATCTATTGAAACTGCTTTTGACTGTGCCATATTTAGACATATCTGATGTGGGAGATATTTGTTTGCGCTCTCGTTTAGGTGCTGACAGACCAAAGTTTCCAGTTCCTTGAGGTTCATTGTTGTTATTATAGGACTGCTTAGCTGGTAGAGAGGATTGGTAATCTGAAATAACAAGTTACATTACATTACAAAAGTCTTACTGACTACTGAGTCAAAATTCCAAGCTTCAGTTCATTTAAATCATTCGGTTGATGCTGCCACAAAATCAAAAGCCTACAAATTTTAGGCCATAAAAAAAAATATTTTGGTTGGTATAAATTTGGCAGGCAGTTCAGCAAATCATTTCTTAAAGCAGATCCAACCATCTTTAATATGATCAACTGTAAAACTGTGGAAAACTTTCACTCACAAAAGTATGCAAGTTTTAAATATTTGACTTTCCTGATTAACTTACAAGTTTTTTTGTTTAAATTAAACAATTATATTTTTCATGTATAACATAGGCTACTGTACCATATCTAACTAATAATAGCATTGTTAAAGTATACAATACTTATAAACCTCTAATTAGGTTAAATATAGTGGCCAATACTTTAAAGCAGGCAGAATTCAGGTATCAAACCCAAATCGAACTTTTAATAATAAGCCAAATCAACAGCATTGACAAAATATCTGCTTGAGGAGCTACCATTCTGTTAATCTATATCTATTAATCAAATGAAAGGATTTTTTTTACTTGAAATTCCGAAATTCCACAAGAATTACAATTATTTTTAATGTACAGCTAAAAAGATGAATTGGATTCTTAGTAGTAACACTATTCTAGACTCAGTGGTTTAAATAAACATTACCTAATTCTAAACAGACATATTCATTTACTCTGGTAAATTATTTAGGGCGAGGCTAACTTTACCATGAATGAGTGATAGTAAAAATATGTAACCTTTTTATAACTGAGGATAGTTGCCAAATCTTTTGACCTACTTTACTTTCAATCAAAATTTGAAACCAAATTAGTCAACCAAAGTAAAAGATCTGAAATCAAACTCTAATGTAGATCTTTGATTTCTTTTGATCAAAAAGTGGAGGACTTTGATATGAAGAGAAAAATGAAAGTTGAGATAAGTTTGATTTGACCTAAAAATAGTGTCAGCTGAACTGTCAAAAGTACTCCCAATGGAAATTACTGCAGTGTCAATCACTAATGATCAAAATGCGCAATAAAAACAAAGTTTTTTTTACCTGTACTGTTGCTGGATTGGTCATCATCATCGTCCCATTCATCATCCCAATCCTCGGTTTGACCGTCTCCGTGGTTCACATTGTTATAAGTCGGAGTTTGAACTGGTAAATCGACAGGAAAGTTGGGGGGAGGTGGCGGTGGAAATTGAGGCTCGGGAATCGACAGAAGTTCGACGTAAGTTTCGGGGATTAGGCCTTGCTCGCCAGTTTCTTTTCTTGCTTCCCACCATCCTTCTCCAATATCCTGTCGAACTATAGTCAAAATTTCATCTGCCAAGAAAGATATTTCGCCATTTGAGGCGTCTCCATCGAATTGGTAAAGTCCTCGGGCTTGCACAGCCGCCATTGTTATTTCGACACAAAAATTACCTCCCCTTTTCCGTCAGGTGATTAGTCGAGAATAACAAGACGCTATTGAATAAAGCAGTCAATAGTGTGACAACAGTAATAAAATATTTGACGGAAATGATTAATTAATTTAAGTTGATCTAATTAACACTCGGTTACTAATCACTAAACAACGCCTCTCAAATTATTGTTCACTAATTACGGAAACACAGAAGTCAAGGAAAATAATCCAGCCAAAAACATTTATGGTTATAAAATTCAAATCGCCTTACATAATTAAAAAGCCTGCAATACAATTCACACGTTTTACTTCATAACAATAATAGCCTTACTGTTTTTTTGAAATTTCAAACCAGGAAAAATTCTCCTCTTATAAAATGTAATTTCTATGGAATGTTTCGAAATTAATGGCCAGTATTCTACATTTATCAAATAGAATCATAACTGACTTGAAATCTATATTTATAAATTGAAGTGATCGGGGCTATATAAAGGATATTGTGTAATGAAAGGTTCTTATTGGGTAATACAATAAAGCAGGGTCAAACCGGATATGATTATAAAATCAAAGTTTTACGCATATATACTATATATTGTAGGCCATATCCCCAAAATATACCGTTAAAGGGATTGTATATTATAATTATATGTATCGCTTTAAAAGGCATCGTGTCCACACCCATTTTAATTATTTCTTTGAGGGAATAAGATCATCTCAAAACCGTATTAGTGATACGATACTTTGATGAACAGTAAAATGCCTCTTTATAACTCATTAAAATCAGATAAACAAACCATATCAAAGCAATTTGAAAAGTTAATCATAAAGGTTGGTTGGCGATCGAAGACAAGTAAACGTTCGCTTCCAGCGGATGCTCTAGGTAGTTGTTGGTAGTCGTAGTAGTTGGATTAAAAGTTAATCATAAAAGGGACATAACCCTTAAATAGTGAAAAGGGGTTGCTATATATAGAAGATCGTCCCCCTTTCCTTCAGGGCGTCGTCAGAGGGGGGAACAGTGGCAAATGCCCCCCCCCCCTCCCTCTAAAAAGAATTGTTTACAGCCTAATTTACCGCGGTCATAATTTTTTTTTTTTTTAAATAACGCTTTAACAGGTAGAACTTTCAGGAAAATTTCAATGAAACTTCCTTCCGTCAGACAGACGTTAGGACTGCAAACAGTTGATTCAAGGATCATTACCGTGAGATTTTACTAATGACCAAAAAAATCAGTCAAAAGAAATAGTCAAGCTCACGTAGGCTACAAAAAGTAGGCAAATAGAAATCAGGATGTAAATATGAGTATTTTATCAATTGTGTATAATCAGTGTGTCAGCGAAATAAAGTTATCTTTCCGAGTGAAATAATTCGATGAGATAATTATCAGTTTGATATTTATATATCCATAACCTTCTGTCTTGGTTAGCTTATATAAGGTTCAGGTCGTAACAAATTACTGACAGCTAACTGAAAACATATCACATTATCTGGTCTCAATTATCTTGATTTAATTTAAAGTATCTTGCCGTTAATTTTTAAAACATAAACACTGTTTAAAATGTAAACCTTTAAAATTCGTTAGGATTTTGTGATGGCGTTCGAAAATTATGTTTTATACACAATATACCAATATAAGTATAAGGACATAGATTATTGCTCATTGTGCCAAACGCAATCTGCTTCCGTGCCCGATATTGCAATGTATACATCACCCAAGATATTTCTCCGAATGGCAAGAACTTTTACAGTAGCTTACGAGATGGATATGGCACGTCACTACCCCCAAATATTTTTTATTCCATGCAATTATCGGTTTCGTCATGAAAGCGTAAATCAACAATTGTAGAAGACAGAAAGACAAATTGTTATCAAGCCGGATCAATTGTAATATTATCATCTAACACCAAATATAACATTTTCAGTGGAGTATTGGGTATTATAGAAGGTGCGCTTCTATACGGAAGCATATCCTAGGTCACAAGAAGAGAAGATAACATAATATAATATAAAGTTTACATATCACTTAATGTAATGAGTAGAAGACATCGTTTATTGAATTTTCAGACAAATTACCACAGCGTTTCACCTGTAATAAATATATATTTAAATTCAGAATGATTAGTTATTGGAAAGAGAGAGAGACAGTGTAAATAATGAATGAAGTTAGAAGATTGGATAGGACGATGAGATAGTAAGATTTCGTGAGGAATGGGATGAATAATTGATGCTGGTCTCGCTGATGTTTCCACGTCGGAATCAATTTCACATACCAAGATGGAGTTCTAGACATAAGGTTAGTTGGTCATTTAATTCACTATGAATAACTCTTACATCTTGCTAAAAATCGAAACCTTATTCAAATATACAGCAGGATTGAGTTTAGACCTACTTAAAAAGGGCAAACAGTTTAAATAGGTTACTGAATTTTATATAGCTTAATGCAATGTGTGGGCTCTTATTAAATTTTGAATGAATTTGAAAATCTTCCGGGGTTCCAAAAGCTCTCTTTTAAATGTGATAAATGTGATAAATACCATGGTCTATGGCCTTTCCTCCGGATACTTAGTACAGTACCCTTCATCCACGGTGATTATGACACTATTTTATTGCAGGAGACAAAATGTCCACCATATCACCAGAGTAATGGAGACACTGACAGAGGAAGAGGATCAGACTAAAGTTAAAAATACCAGCGTGCCGGTGATCTCAATTCACCATAATAATGATGAGGACGACGATGATCTTTACGACACAGATCTCGAAGACGAAAGTGAGTTATGTCCTCAGAAAAAAATCTTCCCAAACCCTAAAATCGTTCAAGATCCTATCTTGGGCATTGTCTTTCATAAACATCAAATACACATGGCACACAGTCTTCTCTTTTGTTTTTGTTCATGCAAGACAAAGACGAGTTTCATTCGTAACCTAAAAAGCAAGCTGAATTTCGCACGCAAGTCAGGAAGCCAACAAACATATTATTGGTCCAAAACCAACCTTAAAACCAGATACTTCATATCCAGCAAAACGATGTTCGTTGTAATTTAGGACAGACGAGTTTGAATGTTAGAATTAAGATCTATATAGCGTAATGAACTGTTTCAGAAAACAGAGATGTTGACAAGGATTCGAAGAAAGAAAGAGCTGTATCAGCGTATGAGAATACCGACATTGGACACCATACTTATGAAGAAGCCTGCAAGAAACTGAAGGTCATTCCTTTGAAAAGGATCATCAGTCAGTTATGGACAGACACCATGATGTTACGCTATATTGGCCTCAACTTTGGACAAGCCAAAGCTTTGTCATATGCTTTGATGGTAAGACTGCACTATAGCCTCTGACCAAGAAATACTCCGAAAGGCGCTCGAGTGTTGCTGTGCCATCTGGAATTTGAAGTGGGATGAATTCGCAAAGTCTCATGGGAAATGATAAGGCAGCAACGACTCCCATTTCCAGATGATGACGTGTAAAGACATCACAGTGAAATTACAATCAAGTACAAGCTGAATATTGGTAAACTAAAAAGGCCAATGATTTCCATTTCAGCACAATTCTAAAGTAGAAAAGGTTGATTTGACAGAAAATAGTTTAGAAGGTGATTCGACTGGACTGTTCTTTGAAATTCTTAAAACACAAATCTACATTACCTATTTGGTAAGTTGTATATTTGATCAATACCTAAACTATTATTCACGATGAATTTATATCACTAAGAGTTGACTTGAGAATGCAGTATTATGTTTTCAGATATGCCAGATTCAATGCCTACAAAGGTGCACCATCATGTAGAGACATGATCTGTGTTGCGGATTGTTTAGCGGCTTTTTAAGGTCGTTGCATGACATGGGCCATTCTTTAATGAATATTGCGTGTTATAGGCCTATGTTTGCAAACGCCTTAGCATGAAGACAAAGTAATTGAGAGCAAAATAAAAAAAAAGAATTTCTGGTATTTGATTGAGTAGATTAAAGGTACATGTAATTTTGCTGGGAACTGACATTGTCTTTATTATGTTACTAGAATATAAGTGAGAATATTGTTGATGAAGCTGCCGCCAGTATACTATCAGAAATGTTGGAATGTAACGCCTGTTTAACACATCTTGTCCTCTCAGGTACCTCTCGAAATTTATTTCTTTAAAGAATATAGTCACAAGATTCCACTCCGAAACCAATTTTCTCTCAGTCATTGTTGTCTACTATCTCACAGAGACAGATGTACGAGAAGCTCATGTGGACTTTTGACATTCTTAATTCTTATGAAAACCATTTATGTGGAGTTTTGCACCTGAAAGGTCTTTTTGTAATTTGTAATTATCTATGTACTATAGTTTAAAATATAAAAAAAACTTTTTCCTTCAGGAACTAAGATTGGAGATAAAGAAATCACACATATAATAACAGGAATGCAGGTAACTAGGTTCGCACATGATTTTGTTGGAATCATTTTTTTGAATATTGACGTGGGGGTGATAACATGGTTGTGGTAACGATTTTTGCAGACAGCTTGGTTGGCCCCGAGTCCATTGAAGACATTGTAATTGTGCCCTTCTATGCAATGTATATATACGGAAACATAAATGGAAACATCGGTAACATCTCGAAATTCTGCTGTCAGAACTTCAAACAACCATAAGAAACTGAAACCTATTCCGATTCCGTTTAAACCATTTGTTTTAGTACCATGGTTAATATTTCAGGAAAACGATACTTTGATCCATCTAGATCTGAGTAAAAATGAAATAGGAATAAGTGGTGCTCTAAGATTCTCTAAGATTATCAGTAAGTATTGTTTTGAAAGAGAAATGAGGGAACCTTGAACCAAGACTACGCTGATCAGAAATTAGACAGTGTATATCAATGTGAAAGACAACTCTACCAAATGAATGTTGTCGTTGTCACACTTATTCATCTGAAATCCCTCACCAGTCCATTTCGATCCGAAGATGATTGTCCTCTTATTCGACTCACAGTTTGCAGCCACAAGAAATAATGCGTTACAGAAGGTATTTCAAGATGACAAAGCCTTAAGCGTTTCATTGAACCTATAATTACATACATGTATATCAAAAACTGTTTGAAAGTTATCTGAAAGAGACCATAATTGCTTCTATAATCACGTCATCTGTCTGAAGACATTCCGTGTTTTTGTTTTCATTGTATTATGTTGATTTCAGCTCCAAACAGATCATTGAAATCATTAAACTTGAGTTGGAATCACATCAGAGCAGCTGGAGGGGTAGCTATTGTTAAAAGTTTACAGGTAAAGATAAATTCTACTATTTATTATCTAGTACGAATTTGGTCCTTTAAAGCCTCCGGACCTCGGTGTAAATTTGAACAACACTAGGATTCATCTCATTGCTATGAAAATTATCTTTGTCCTTGTATTTGTCTCATGGTAATCACGGCAAAGATAAGTCATACCGACCACGGAATCTTTCACTAATTTGGGGAATCATGAACTGGCATTGGACACTTAGGCGCCATAAACGAAGCATATCTTAAAACAAAGGCTTCTATTGTAAAACTGGTGGAACGAATATGAAATGGAACGGGACATGATATTGATATATTGTTAACTATAGAATTCGGATCTCGGTGCAATAGAAAGTGGTCCTAAATACGCTCGTACATACAATGTTCATTGACTCTTCCAGAAGAACATTAGTCTAATAGATGTTGATTTATCATGGAATGGACTGGGATTCGAAGGAAGTCTGGCTCTAGGTGAAGCACTGAAAGATAATAAGTTCCTGAGGAAGCTGAACCTCAACAACAACAGAATCAACTGGGATTGTGTACCGTATATTGGTCGGGGATTACGTAACAATAAATCCCTCAACATTTTAGAGGTAACACTGCAACAATTCTAATAAGATCAACCTATGATTTTGATGATTCAAGATTTGATGTAACCTGTCAACCGAAAATTCTAATATTCTCCACGAATTCTGTGTTCTTTGGCCAAACCAACGGGTAGTTCTTAACTATACAAGTTAGTGTACGAGAATAATATTGGAAATAACTAGTTCTTTCATTGCCGAATGCACTCTTAAAGAGAGATGTTGTGGAGTTAGCCATATTATGCTTTAAATGATTTCAGATTGGGTATAATCCGTTATCTCTGGAAGGTTGTGCTGATCTATTGGATTTTATCTCCAATAAAAAATCTGGTATACAAGTTCTCAGTTTACCGGTAAGTATCTGAATTACCAAGTGTTTTCTTTTTGGCGGATATAGGACGAACTTAGTTGGTATGATTTGCGGCTTTGTGCTCTGTTAATGGTAGAACGATAACCGCTTGGGTTGGAACCCAATCTCTTAATTGTGCTCTATTTCAGGCAGTACCTATAAATACTAAAATTGCCTACCTGGCCACCAAGATATCTCACGATCGAAAGTTCATCCTTCACCATGGTGGTATATTAGCAACTGGGGATGTTATTGGCATACAGAGAGGTAAGTTGAAGCCTTTTCTTTAAACCGTTTCTGTATATAGCAAACTTTATAGCTCATATACCAATAGGTACCACTCAGGTACAAAAAACGCAAATTATCGGTCTTAACAGTTCTCTAGACGTTCACAAACACCTGGTGATCTTGATGCAACTTCTTTATCTTCATCTTCAAATTGACTGTAAGCTTTGGACCCACGTTTCAAAGGGTTTTTCTATTGTTTTTATTTCAGCCTTCAAAGTGGATCCACTATCTCGTCTGATATCGTATCTTGGTTCTATTGGATTTCGGGTGGTTGATTTATTCAGGATGTTTGATTCTCAAGATAAACTGTTCGTCTCCAGAGAGAAATTTATGCAAGGTTTGAAGGTATGTTTAGTGACAGGGAACTGAATTATGATTGCTAGGTTGTAGCTTTGAGTGTTGGGCATGAGGGATTTAAATCTGTATGACTCGATGATTGATTTCATGTCTATGAGTACAATACCTAATGGGTCACGGCAAGCCAAATACTACTATGTCGGATTTTAACTTCCACACAATTAATCGAACCTGGTGAGTCTAGTATTACATCTTGTCATCTTAATTTCAGAAGATCAATGCCCCTCTAGATGAGGATGATGCTGATAATATAGCTGATAGAATGGAGGTGAACGGAGAGATCAGTTTCAAGTAAGATTTTGAAAAAATCTCATGCTGATTTTCATTTTTTCGCGGTCCTCGTGAGAAGATTAAGGGAAGCAATTTCGTGTGATCTCTTGCAGTAGATGTTCCTGAAATACTTTGGTGAATCGGGTTTTTTCTCAATATCCGTCCAATCTTTGGTTCTAAGGTCCAATGAATCTCCGTTTCATTTCAGAACCTTAATGGACTCTGTAAAGAACCACATCCGAGATGCCAGGAAAGAGGACATGAGACACGAGATGATGGAAAAAAGAAAGAGAGAAGAAAGGAAACGGATTCTTCATTCTGATGTAACAGTTAATGCTCAGACCACTTTGGCATTCTCTCCCGGAGCGTACAACATGTACAGTTCATATAGCCGACAAGGTCGAGACACATCCTCACATTCACCGTTCACCAACAATCCACACAGTGACGGACACTCTTCCTCGGGAAGCCAACACCGTGTCTTTACCCACTCAGCTTCGACTTCCAAGACTTTACCTACAGTGACAAGTCCTCGCCCAACATTGCGAGATCCGGAGTCTATGAAACATTTGTCTGCTCGTTCCCGCTTCCGACAGGCAGGAAGACGTCTGGCATTTACCAGCGGTAAAAAGGTAACGCGACAGACTTCGATGGAGCCTGTAGAAAAAGAGAACACAATTAACCAGTACGCCGTCCTACCAGCCGTTAAAACATAAGTGTTCTTGAAAATTTTTTAACATTTTAATTCTTAGCTGTGCAGACTTCATTTTTTTACATACTGTAATTCAATATATTTATTGTAAACGTTTGTTAATACATTTATTTTAAACGTTTGTTAATACATTCAATGTAAACGTTTGTTAATACATTTATTGTTAACACGTCTTGTTAATATATAGGCTAAAACATTTAGACTGAATATCATAAAACATTTATGCAACAAATAAAACATGTAACTTGTAATATTACACTGTCTTTATCTCTCTAATGTTTCAATTCTGTATTATAATGGATATATGATATATTGTTTTCAAAAGGGAGATAGTACGTTGATGTAAACAATAATTAGCCATCAAGTCATGACAGCAAGGTGTATAGCAATACCGAATACGGGTTTTGACATTGTCTTATTGTTAGAAGAATTATCACCATTGGGGATTTGGTTTGGACACGATGGGTGTATAGGTATACCATATAACTGCGAATATAATGCGCATCCACTCGATATATACCATATTAGTTTACAGAGGCAGAAGCATGCGTAGGTTTAGATATGCTTTTGCACTAATATAAACACATTTATGCCAACAACAAATTCAACATGTTTTAAAGTTAAATTTGGTAGAAGTTTAACTCGAATACAGAATATTGAGCAACAAATAAACTATTCTTTCACACTATTATAAGCACAACCATTACTTCGACCAACAAATGATATAGATTTGAGTAAACAAACAAAGCAATAACAGTGTTATCATCGTAGTTTTGAAGAGATGCTGGCCAAATCCCGTGCTAGTTTTGATACTTCAAGAAACCTCTCTGTTCTCTGCCACCATGTTTCTGGAATGCTTTCAAGTCCACACTGAAAAATGAAAATTATGTTCTAGAACCTTATTATGAGATGCTATAGCTGCTGAATCCAAAACACACTCATGAAGTTATATAGTGTATATTTTATTTATGCAATATGAATATGCCGACATTCTGGAAAATAAGGCCTACATTAAGTTGCAATAGAGTTCCCCGAGTGCAGTAAGAATATGAAAATGAACACTAGCCTTCTATTCAGGATTCTCAATAAACAGATCGAGATCATAAAGTGTCACATAGGATTTAAGGTTTTTGTGAATTTTCACAACATCAAAGCCAAATTTCTCATAACTTTAAGAATTGGATCGGATTCAACTTCCGTAAAATATAAATTGAGTTATGACAATATCTCAGTCTGTATATCACATCTTAGGAACTGGGTAGAGCCATATTTATAGGACTATATTAATATATGACTGTATTAACCAACCTGAACAGCAATACATGCACCAATTAAATTAGATCTGGATGCTGAACAACCACCTGCTTTGATTGTTGCTCTGATAGCTGTAGCATAATTATCATAAGTTACTATGGAATGCAGAGCTGTTTGCAGGTTTCCAGGAACATCTATAATAGAAAGAAATATAACGTAACTTGGTATAAAGAAAACAAACAATGCGTACATTAAACTTAATTTTGACATTGTCAGGCTGTATAATAGTCTATTTACATTTTCATTTCTATGGTTGTCTTGCAATATTGCTATAGATATCGATTTATGGATACATGAATATTTGTCTAGATTCGCTCTACAGGTCGGAAAACTCCATCTACTAAAACATTGAAGATCTCCATTTCAAGCAATCAAAGCAGTTGGTGTCACTTTTATTCTCGACGAACTGGAAATAGACATTAAATTTCTGTGGACTGTAAATATTACGACGATAATGTCCCTTTAATCATATACATACAACAAGCCTTTCCGAAGTTATTAGCAGCAGCTGTATGGTCTGTAGACTTGTTATCCAGCACTTGTTGTAAATACTCAGCTAGCTTGCCATCATTCTCATCTGGGTCACTTCTACCGGGGTCTTGAAGGGTTTTTATAGTATCTTCTAGTATATTAGGGTTTCTTCCATTTAATATCAGATTCTCTAGAATTCTGAAAGATAATCATAATTCTCTTTTAATACGCCTACATATTCATTTTGATCTTTACTATTTCTTTGACAAAAATTCGATGTTCTTTCCCCAAAAGGATTTGTCTTATACCTTGACTGCATTTACAACCTTTCTTTATCAAGGAAGTTTGTAAATGCAGTGATTGTTCCTGAGCGAATACAGCAAATCAGAGGTCTCGATAGGAAATCTGTAAATCAACCATTTTGTTCAGTCTTTCTGTCGAGGGTACTGATTGGCTGCAATTGCTGGCATACAATCCAATCAAATCGCTGAATTCCGTGATACAAGAAAGGTGGCTATTGACATTGTGAGGGTGAGCCTTACCTAGCGGCAGTTAAAGCTGAAGCTATAATTAAAGGAGTTTTCTGTGTCATCGACACAACTTCTCGAACCTTGGTTAACAACTCTGGTCGACCAGCATATAATACTACTACTGGAATGGATCTACAGTAACAATCAGCACTCTTATCATCAAAACCTGTAGTTAGAAATTACAAGTTTACTAGATTATTTCCCGATTGTGCTCAAAATGTCAACCACAGCTACAACCTAACCATTCCCTTCTCACTATAATATGTGAAACCTATATTCAGAAATTCAAAGTCTATGCTTCTTTAGAGGAGCTAACGTGACAATTCATTACTTAAAATTAGACAAACTTTCGCTCCATTTTTTTTTTATTAGCTTTTACTTTAAATATAGCCACTTCAGTTAGGGTCTAACGACAGCCTTCTTGAACGTTCGTCAAATCAACCTTTTTGTCTAGCCTGATAAAACACCGCCTCACAAAACGTGAGCACTGAAATTTGATTGGTTACAGGAGACGTCATCGAATTAGATAACGGACATCTGGTCGTCTTCCTGAGTGGTATGAATATACAACCGATATCCAATGAGATGATTTCGACCTGCAGCCCTCATTAATCCACAAGGTACATCAAAGTGTCCTGGTGGTCTAAAATAATGCATTTAGCATGTGCATACCTTTTTCATCAGAGCCACTTTTATAGCTCTCCAAAAAGTCAATTAAACTTTTATGTAACCACCGCCCCTCTATTGGTGGGTCTTTTGTTCCCCTATTAGGATTATCATATTCTGTACCAGGGCCAAACATCTTGACTGTTTCTTGCTTTAAAGCTGGAATGTCTAGGCCTGAAAATTAATGTTTTAAATTATAAAATAGGTCAAAGGTAAAGTCTGAACAACATTTAAAATCGATTAGGTCAATAGTAACTCAGTTAGTCATCATATCCAAACCACACCCCATTCGTCATACTTCCTTGAGGTTAATAAGGCAGTGTCAAAACCCGTATACGGGATGCGATGCCTATTACGTAATTCAAGAATTAGGCCTATAACTTATACACGACAGTTTACAGTGTTACGAATGTGTTCCCATAATGTATTTGTATTTGTATGTTCACGACGACGACAATAAAGCCCTTCTTCTTTCTTTCATCTAACATTGATACAATGGAGCTCCACTCATTGTTTGTGTGGTCAGAACTTACTTCCAGCTCATTTGAAAGGCAAAGGATCCGAGGGTGGTCAACTCATCATATTCAAATATCGTATGCTTTATTGTTTCTTCAACTTGACCATACAGTGGACACGTGTAGACAGCACAAGTCAATACATCTAAAATACAGGCATCTAATATAAAGGAAACTGAAACTCATAGAATCGATTGTTAGAATAGGGAAACTACCTTTATTGGAAACCAATGACAACAAAACCTGGTACGTCTGATCAGCATAGCAACTATTTTTTCCAGTTTTGAGGATGTAAAAAGGGTTGGCTGAAGGGTCTCTAAATTCAACTTCATCTTTACCATCAACCACTTCGTCCATTTTTTCTTGTTTGTATATCCAATGCATTGGCATAGCTGAAAAAAAGAATAGTCAAAGTAATTTCACCCAGCAAAGGTCAGCATGTCTAATAGGATATGGGGGACACAATTCTCTTCAAATAATCATGGCATTATCCTTAAAAATGGAAAAGCAATTTTTGTTCACAGCTACCATTAATTGCCTGTAGGTACTATTTAAAGGGATAAAAATAAATATATATGTAAATAGTCTTCAGAAGTACAAGAAATGTACGTAAATCACATAATTTCTTTAAAATACTTCAAACTTCACTATTATATATATATGGCTTTTCTATATATCACAGCTAGTAACATCTTATTAAATTAGCACAAATGCTGAAGATCTGAGGAAAAAGGGCAAAAAATAAACATATTTAAGGAAAAATGAAAGAAAATTAACATTTTATATTATAATAATGTTTTGATCCAAACCCCCTTGCATACTAACGTCTATTATGAAAACGGGTCACAACAACTCTATGAGCTCATACAATCTATATTTTATCCTATCCTTTTGATTCGCTGTACTCGTAACTCAACAACATACACGTACCTGCAGCATCTCCAATAATTGCACCACATATTGCAGCTATCTTCCTCTCTAAAATAGTCGACATTCTGTCTGGCTCGGTTCTGCGTCCCAGTTGCCGGTCCGTAAGCCAATAGACTACTGTATAGCATATAGCACTATATTTGCTTTGTCATGAATAGGCGTGTGTTGAAGATACAAGCTGAATAGCATTACAGATTGAATTGATTGTTTTATGGGAGGGGATACATGTCAACTATATGAAGTAAAATGGCGGTGGAAGTATCCAGGCTACACTTTATTGGTCTTAAAGGGACTGGTTCGTCATTTTCGGACATTGATTTGTGTATATAAATAGACTTCAGGAGAACTAGAAATGTACATTAATCGCATAATTTCTACAAAATTACCTCAAACTAGAACTTAGTATCTTTTCTTTATGAAGAATATAAGAAAAGAGAGTCGTCTTTTATACCTTTCAAATCGGATAGTTCTGGACACACTTGGATTTGATTGCAGGTTTAAATTTTCACGGTAAGCTATAAACACTATACTGATTGTCTTAGATAAAAAAAAATTCCCGTTTCTGAGACTAAAGTACGAATGGTTAAATCGATGGCGAATCTGTCCCCTTGATGGTGCGAATAAAAAGCGTAAACAGGAGAAAGCAAGCGCAAAAAGCGTAATATAGTAGCTAGGCTATATGCAAATTGTAATAAAAGACGCATTGTAAATGTGAATAACTTTGACTATCACTTCCAACAAAAATTCAACGATTTGTTCGGAGTTGGATATCTACAATGCTTTCAGTGAAACGAGTAATATATAGACAACAAGCTTCGGTCCATTTACAAGTCTAGTCAGGTAAGGGTATAAGCTACGGCTTGTTTCTGAAACCATTGCTTTTATATAATATGTAATGTATAATTCGTAATTTATGAATAAATATTGTCTTAATTGTCACGAACTCCAAAAAGAAAAAGATTTTCAAAAGATCGTTTCCCATATCGTCTACACAGCCATAATGACAGACTGTGCTTGACACAATGGTTGTTTTTGTAATATTTTGAAGGAGGTATTGCAATTTATAACAAAAATTTCTACTAATACATATGTGAAGAAACTGTAAGTATAAAATATTTCGTAACTTATTAGGCCTAAACAATTATGGTCTGTAGTATAAGAATATTCCACGAGTTGCAGGCAAACAATGAAACATGTGCAGCTCGATTTCTACCCTAAGGCTAAAGCAGCAAGACATTACATTCAATATCCAACCCATGCAGTTGTTTACATATAATCTTAATATTTTGGCAGAAAGATTGAAAATCTTGATTGGGGAGTCTGGATAATCGAGGTAGTTACCCATAGAGTTATATATAGATTATTTACCGGAAGAAGATTTTATGAAATGTTTTCATTGCGTTTCATTTGTTTATTCATCGAGCTGTTGTCATCAATCGGTAGGCTGTTATTTCTGGAAGAACAACAGGCCCTACTGATTTCGTTTAAAAAACGACGTCCTCTGTATGTTTGTTTTTTTAGTTTATTTTTACACCTCTCAATCTCATATTATATATTCGATATTACATGATATTCATACAAAAAGGGGCATTGAGTTTACTGCGGCTTTGCTTTTATTATAAACCATATTAGGCTACCCTATGCCATATCTGTCTACATTCTACATCAGCCCTACACTCTGACCCAATCTATTTAAAATTAAATTTGGTTTCGTTATTATTTTTTTATCCAAATTGTCTGGCAGATTTCCTAAAGTTTTAACTAAATTTGTGTTTCCGATTTGGTTAATTAATCTATTACCGTTTCGACTATTAATTTGTTACCAGTTGGTTTGTTAGTATTGTTTGAACTGGATATCATAAGAATCAGTTAACACGCGAATATCGACAGTATCATGAGGCCTCACAGCTCATATCACTCTACTTTGCTATCCCACGATTCAAACGCGATATTTAGACCAAGATTTTGCTCGATGTGCTGTGAATGGTTGAAATGAACTTCAACAGTGCTTGACTTTGGTATATATTTATATAGATCTTTTTTTGATCAAAATAACGAAGCAAAATTGTAGGCCTAATGTAATTTAAATTTTCAAATTACCGAAACATGTCAACATCATACAATCATCTTTCATCAGTTATTAAATCTTCAGTTTCTTGAAAAGATCTTGAAATTCTGAAATATTCCTACAACATTTTATTTAATTTCAGTTTTTAACTAGGCCTACCTACCAACATGGCTGACTATGATATTGATGACCCAGAAAGAGAGATTGAATGTCCCTATGATAAAGCTCATATGGTGAGAAAAAAACGGATGCAATATCATCTTATTAAGTGTCGGAGGGTAAGCACCTTTTTTTTTCCCTAAAATTTTATGTGTGGTGATTAGGTGTTAAAAAGGTTAAAATGAAATTCAAAATGATCAGCAAACACTAACCAAGAGTCAATCATGGTACAAATATGGGCATTTTTTATGTTGTATATTTTTTAATTCATGCCCAACAGAAGTATTTTCGAAATTATGTCATCAAGTTCAGTAGTAGCCTAATTTTTAGATTATTATACGAAAATAATAAACAAAGTGAATAAACACTTATTCCCATTTTAACACTTAATTATATATCAGAATATTTGCCCTTATCTGTTGGTTATTTGTTTTTATTCAATTTCTATTATTAATTTTTTATACAGAACCATGTTACTAAAGATTTTGTAACTTGTCCATTTAATGCTACCCATGAAATGCCAAGACCTGAATTACGTCACCACATGTTGACTTGTAGAGATAGAGCTGTTGCTGAAAAAACTATCAGGCATGGTGAGTCACTCTATTACAATTACTAACCTAGTAGAACTGAATACAAATCATTGTGAAGTGTACTTAGTCTCAAGACATAAAACAATTTTGCTGAGTTGTGATGACAGTCTAATTAGAGCACTATTTTCCACATGTACCTTCAGCAACGGTACGATGATAATGATCATGAAGTTAGATGTGAACATGCCAAAGTACTTGCTTGATGGAGGTTATTCCTATCTCAATCCTTGCTAAGCTTAAAGTTGTAATCTTCTGTTGAGTATCTGAAGTATGGCTTTCCTTTAGCAACGGTACTATGATAATGATCATCTAGTTCAATGTGAATAATTTTTAGGAGTAGTATATATCAAAATGTTCTATCTACTTCTAAATGTCATTTCAAGATTATACAGTTAATGTATGGACTTTCATCAATTCAAGACGTTAAATAGCATGCTCATATTAAGACAGAAATATTTGTTTAAGTAGGAAAAAAACCAAGAGCCATATGTGACAAGATAATTAGGTTTTTATTGTATTATTACAGAAGAGGCCAAGCGTTCAGCCACAAACCAGCCAATATTAAAAGGAAACACAGATGTACCAGCTTATAATACATATCAATTAGTAGAAACAGAAGATTGGGATTCGGGTAGGCTAATTGAATCTATTACTTCAGATTTTTAATATCCATAACAGGTGCTCCTTACCTTGATCATACACTTAAAGCATGTTCCTGTTCATTAAAGGGGTAACATAACTCTATTCATGATTGATTACATGCTGATAGATGCAAGAAGTGCGACCAATCAAAATGAAAGTTAGGCTTTAAGTGATTTGAGCTGTCAAGTACATTTGAGTGAGTGAAGTCCAGCAATACCTACCCACATAAATCTTGCAGTATTTAAGCACATCATAGGGTAAATATTTATACACTGATGTCTTGTTCCCTTGATTCTTACTTGATAGTAAGAGTATTGAATTAACTATTAACTGTGTTGTTTATCACATATTTAAGCTATCTATTTTTCCTATCCATGTTTGTATTTTGATTATAGAAATTTCTGCACATCCTAAAATGGGGGTAGACCCAAGCTTCTTCCATATGAATACCAGACGAAGTTTGGCTGGGTAAGAATACAATTATTTATTTTAAATAAGAAAAACCTTATGAATTCATTGTATGCAATCACCAAGTAGACAACTATCTGATGAGCTACTGTTTTAATGGCTATGTTTGAATATTACATTGGGTTGACTTGTTCTTCAATTTTTCTCAAATTTTTATTTTAGAGCGTCCTCTTTACTTGACTATGCTTTGCTGTCTTTTTTCAGATTGACCCCATTAGAGAAACGTAAATTCCACACTTCATTGATACCAGATATGACAGACTAGTAAGTCCAGTTTCTTGTGGATTTTAAATTAAATAACTGACAATAAACTGTATTACTTTAAGCAGAATAAATAAAATGCGTTAGTTTTTAAGATTCTGTTAGGATTAACAGCCATGAAAAATACATAATATTATTTAGAAATCTTTATGGAAGTTTTTGTCTATTTCTACCAGTAATATTGATGAAGATGAACAGTATAGACCAGTAGGAATGGCACCAGAACCTCAGGAAGAAAGACAAGTCAGATTGCCGAAAGCCAAGTCCCAAGCTGAGACATTATATGAACAACAAAAAACACAAGTTCGGCAACCTAAAGCACCTTCTTCTGTGTTTCAATATTCCTTAGCAATGGCAGGTGTTGGTAGAGGCAGAGGTAAATTTATTTTCTCGAGTACTATTATGTTATATATGAATATTATAATATGTATTACTATGTCATGTTTCTCCTAGGAGGCAGGGTATACATGTTACAGAAATCATATATTAGTCTGTTATTGATGAATGTAAACCAGAACAGAATCTCAAATGATTGAAAGGAATCTTATTTCATCATCTTTTATTTTCTAGGAATGCTGTCGAATCCAGCACCTCCGCTTATAAGACCAGGAGGAATGGGTGCTGGGGATACATCACAGCCAATTCCTGCTAGTCTTCAAACTTATTCCATGAAGAACGCCAAACAAAACAGAGATAGTCCTCCACCAGCAAGTATTATGGCCTATGTTTTGAAAAATGGAAAGAAAGTTTCCTCTATGTCTTCCAATAATTCCAACTATACAAGTGCAGATAACTCTTCCAACAGGGCCTTTTCTGATGATGAAGACTTTGATGGAGTGAAACCTAAAAAAACCCAGGTTCAAGCTTCACCGGCTCAAAATAATGGTACTAGTATTAATGATTATGTCTTGAAGCAGCCTGGACGTGGTCGGGGGCGAGGAACTGCCAGACAGCAGACTGAGAAGGAGGTATATATTCCTGCGGTAATGAAACCAATGCAGAATACAGGTATTGGACGCGGAGCCCGGTTACAGAATGGCAACCTACAGCCTGAACATATGCATCCTAGCAACTCAAATTCATGGGCTTCGCTGGTCAATGGTATGTATAGTATTTATTTTGGTCATGATTTGTGAATCATAGTGGGTTGTTTTGAGATATCAGTCTAAGTTAAATAATATTGATTGTGTCATCTTTATATCATATCTCCTCCATGTCATCATATAGATAGTATCTCAAATCGGTAGCATTTTGACAATCAAAAGCTCTTTGAGATTGAAAGCCAAAGCTTCATAACGATTTTGAATGAATTCGTGATCTGTTTCTCTAAACAAGATGTATAGTAAGTTTAATTTATACACTAGATTCAGGTCAGTCAACTCCGCCAACGAATGATTATAGCTGTAATGACTTCCCTGCCTTGAATCACTTTCCACCATTAAACCAATCTAACAATGGACAGCTGAGTAATGATGAAATAAAAACTGGTAGTGTGAGTGACAACTCCTCTGGACGAGCCACTCCAAACAACTGGTTTGATGGAGTTGGTGAGTACTAATTACTTGAAAAGAAATAATTTCCAAATGAAAAAATTGAAGCTAGCTAGACCTGTTATTAATTGTTTGAAAGTACATTGGTGTCTAGAAAACAGTCATTGGACTTTCACATGAATTTCCTATGTAGATATAACAGTCACTGTTTCTAACAGTGTTATTTACTTTGTATTTACATTTTTTTTAACGGGGTCATGGTTGCTTATAGAATTTAAATACAATGCCCAGTTACCCTAAAGAATGATGACATTCAAAATAAATAGTGCTTAAGTTATCAGTTTTTAGTTGGAAATTTAGTTTGAACTTGTAAGAATGTCTCAGTGGATATGTGAACAATACTAATCTTATATATATAATATGATATGATATGATATGATATGATATAATATGATATGATATGATATGATATGATATGATATGATATGATATGATATGATATGATATGATATGATATGATATGATATGATATGATATGATATGATATGTGATATGTGATATGTGATATATGATATATGATATATGATATGCTATGTTATGCTATGCTATGCTTTGATATGATATGATATGATATGATATGATATGATATGATATGATATGAAGATATGATATGATATGATATGATATGATAACTCTTCTGTTATATAAAGTATTATATTTATATTTTGTAGAAGATACTATGGTGAATGAAAAAAAACATTGTAATGATGAGGTAAAGAAATTTAATTTTTATTCCAAAGTTTGTATGAAGGTTTTTTTTTTAAAGTGACAACATTGCATTTGAGGAGTATCAGTTTAGTATGTATGTCCCAAAATCTAAATAAAAAGAAAATTCAAATACATGCCATATTGGGTAACATAATTATATGCTTTGTGTTATTTTATATTGTGCATATATACACCATACCTTGTGTTATTTTATATTGTGCATATATACACCATACCTTGTGTTATTTTATATTGTACATATATACACCATACCTTGTGTTATTTTATATTGTGCATATATACACCATACCTTGTGTTATTTTATATTGTGCATATATACACCATACCTTGTGTTATTTTATATTGTGCATATATATTACATACCTTTTGTTATTTTATATTGTGCATATATATTACATACCTTTTGTTATTTTATATTGTGCATATATATATATTACATACCTTGTGTTATTTTATATTGTGATATATATTTATTGAATCAAGAGATCTATTTAACCGCCTTGTATTTTATCTAATGATGATATAGATATTAGAATTAGCTAAGAAACAAAGTAAAACCTTGAGAAAGAAGTTGGCTGGTATTAGTAAATTAGAGGACAAGAGAAAGAAGGGTGTCAAGTTAACACCAGATGAGCAAGCTAAAGTCAATAAGAGAAGTGAATTTGAAAAAGAATTAGCAAAGCTGAGGTAAGTTTTATTGTTCCATATTACATGTAATGTGTTAAATGTATTGATGAAAAATCCCCCTCATTAAGCTTATGGCCCCGTTTCTAAAAAAAAATTATTTATTTTTTTCATTTTCAGCATTACTAAATAACTGAATGGATTGTGATACAGTTCGATGGATATTCTTCCCTATATTTTTAATTCTAGCTTGGTTTCTTTTATTCTAATTTTAAAACTTAATTCTAGAGCTAAGTTTCTATTTTATTTTATCATTTTATCATTTTCCCACTATACATATAAATTATTTCACTTGTCAGACAAGTTATTTATATTTCCCCATATGGCCAGTAATTTAGAGTTTAAACCATATTTTTACTCTGTGACAATTACCTGGTGGTATTTTATCTCCATTGATGATTTCAGTTTTAAAGATTTGAAACTTGGAATCTTAAAAATTAATTTTAAATGTTTCTGATCATACTTTTGTCATCTTTTAAATTTGAGAGAAAAAGAGGAAGATCACTTTAAATTATATCTTATGAATTTGTTGATAATATTCAATACAATCACAACTATCAAACAACATAAGGAAATCAAATTTTAAAATGTAATATTCTGTTGACAATCACATGTGAGTATCCAAACAGTCATACACTTATTAACTTTATTTTTCCCATGCCAATGAAATTTTTATCTATTTCTTATTTAAAACTATTTTTTTTATTCCTTAGTTTTAACACAAGTTCTTTGCACTTTTATCCTATTTTTGCTCTTCTTATGGATATATTTTGATTTATAAATACCACAATAAATATTTTAAATTTTAATAAAAGAAAATATATTTTACAATGTAATGTGTTTAGTCAAGTGTAGTGTAAATGAAGATGTTGAATTCTTTGTTGACCTTTATTACAGTATCTTAAAGGGTTTGTATAGAAGTTTTTCTAGCTTTTCATATATGTATCGAGGGCCATATATGGCTTCTATTTCCATCATTTTTAATCTACATCAGATATCTTTGGGTCTTGTTATTTTGGAAATTCTTAAGAGGTAAGCATCACAAAGGCTGCTTATTATATATAAAGGCCTTTGTGGTAGGTATATCTTTAAATACTTAATTTTAGTTGAATAGCAAGAAACAGACATCTGAAAGAAAATTGTAATGGTGCCAATTGATTTTATTGGTGTCTTTCAAAAGACTATGTTCTCATCACCTTTTAACACTGTGTTATTAACAGTGGAATTATAGAACAATAAAACGTAGATTATATTATTCTTTCTATTCCAAGCACCTGATAAGTTTAGAAAACCTCTTTACAATCCCTTTAATTAAACTGTTATGTTGTTATTGCTGAATGTTCAGTCGTGTATATATTTATCATGTTATATTTTTATGGCCATATATATTTTTTATATACCTGGTTCAGTGCTTTATATATTATGAGAATAAAATGTTGAATTTTATGATGTTATTAATTTTGTATATTTATTAAAGAATAAAGCTTATTATTTAAATAAATCCAGTCAGTATGCTGCCCTTGTGTCTGTATATTGAGTAACAATTGTGTATATTTATAAGATCTCAGATGAGTTTCATTTTCACTATATTTGTGCAGCGTATTTTGGCATCATTCATGTCTATCTGTCCTTCCGCTCTACAAGGCAAAATCACCTTCTACCTTCTAGGTTTTGCTGCTCCATTTTGAGCTATATTCTGATAGTCAGTATAAGTATATGCCAGAGTTCTTTGTAATCTGATCATGGGTTTGAAACATGTTTATTATAAACACTATTGTTATCAAGTATTGTATAAGGACAGTAGGACAGCTTGAAGATCAGAGTTGGTCATTCCGCCCTCAGAGGAATTCTGGATTATTTGTGAAACATCAACATTCTGAGGACCTGTGGTTTGCAGTTCAACTAAATTCTCTTCATCAGTTGTCATTTGTGACAAACCAACTCTGGATTTAGGCACATCTGATCGGTTTATGGAAGGAATAACAAGAGTTGTCTTTTCTTGACATAAGGCAGCTGTTGATGCCTGGGTTGGATGACTTGATGATTGAGACACGAAAGATTGATCACTGGTTGGCTGGATGGAATCTGTTAGAGATTGGGACTCTATATCCTCAAATTGTATGAAATTTGGGGACTGTACACTTCGTTGTTCAGATTTTTGTCTCTTCAATCGATACATCACACGAGAGATTTTTCGTTTCGGTAGAACAGTTTCGGGAGATAAAACGGATTTTTCTTTCATGATTGCTTCTTGGATATTCGTTGACGATACATTCTGAGTGCTGCATTTAGAAATAATGAAGTCCTTCGTTGATTGGTTCATTAGTTGCTTGGAAACTGAAGGTGGTTGCCATGGTAATGAAGAATTGTCAGGAACATGAGAACCTGTGATCTGTATACGCCATTTTGTAAGGTCAGATAGAAATATCTTCAAGTTGAGTAAAAAGGAACAGTTATGTCTATCCTGTTTATGAGACATCCCTGGACAACCTGAAATATGTAAGGGAGAGGCACATTAGCTTATGAAAAGAACAAAGTATTGGTTGAATCATCCCCATGCCAGGGTTCTTTTCTTCCACACTTTTGAGCTTGACGCCAATAAAGCTGTTGAACTATTGGCAAATGTAAAGGGTATAAAAGAGGATTGTTTCTTGAAGTTCATTAAGTGCTGACAAAGCATTGTCAAACATCTATTGGATGTCCAATTTCGTTTTGCGATTTGGAATGTTAGTACTTGAGATTTTACACTGCAAATGAAATGACCAACTGATAAGAATGAGATTCCTACCTTCCAGACATGTTCCATAACCACCACACTTCCTCTGGCAGTTCCCTCCACGCCCTGGACACCAGACGTACCAATTAACAACATATTCATCTCTTGCTAAACAATTTCCAATCTCTTCACTCTTCTCTTTACCCTGGTCTGTTGCTTCAAAATAATCATCAAAACGATTCCGCTCTAATTTGTGACCTTGTCTTTCCCATGATCCTTTGTCAACTGCTGATTCCTGTCTTTTCAGATTGACTAAATTTTTCTTGATATGTCTCTTCCCTTTATTTAAGTAGATTCCCTGAATTGCTGGATGGGTGTGTAGAAATTGAATCATGCCCTGTCCCACTGGGACAAAACTAACTTCTTTATTTTGATCAGCTCTATTGTGTATCCTTGCCTTTTTAAATGACTTTTGTTTTTGAGTTTGAGACATCGGGCCATTGTCTGAATCTGAATTGCTGTCAAAATTGTAAACATCCTTGCTCTCAGATCTTTTCCTTATCCTCTTAAGACCAGTTCTTTGATTTGATTTGGGAAAGGGTTCTTCAAGATTTGGTGGTAGGTTATAGTTGTGTAGGCTTATTATGTCATTTGAGATTTCCCCAACAGTACTAACAAGGTTTTGGTTAGATTCTGTAGTTTGGACATGCTGTTTGTCTACAAAACTCAGGGAAGAGACGCCATTTTGACTAGATTGATAAGGATTGCCTTCAGCTGTATTGTCTCTATCCTTCAAATCCCAATCGGTCTGCTCTAGGAAAGCTGAATTGTCTTGAGAAAGTTCATTTGAAAGTTCTAAGTCTTCAAAGCAATGGTTACTTTGATTCAAAATTTCTGTTGGTTGATTTTCTTTGACTTTTATCTTATTGTTTGAACCAAAATTTGGGGATTGGTCTCCATATGTCGCTTTTGAATCTTCAAAGACTTGCAGTAACTCTTGATGCTGGAAGGAAGTTTGTTGTGTTTCTGGAATTCTGCATGATTCTTGCATCTGATCTTCATACTACAAGAACAGAAATCTTGTCAATAGAAAAAAAGTTCAAATCCAGGTTTATTGCTTTGATGGTGAACTAAGCAACACTTACTTGTGCCTCCAAATAACTTGATCAGACAGAAACACCCAAATAGTAGCGAAGCTGTAGAGGCCAAGCTAGACCTATAGCATCTCCTGAGTCATTAAAATCCATTCTGAATACTATTTCCAGGCCCAGATTGATGAAGATTTTTTTGTAATTCTTTTGTAATTTTCTAATATGAATTTTCTTACCTCCTCCAGCCTTTCTGATCTGTGACCATAACTAGCATAATCTTCAATCACTGTATCACTACCCTTCAGACTTCTCATGATTTGATAAATACACGAGTCTAGTATTTGAAGGCAGTTCTCAAGGTGACTCGAATCATGGCTTAGATTAATAATCAGGGTTGTTCCATATACACCACACACTCCCCTGTAAGATAATATGACTTCTGATCAGATCAAATGATTATCAAATAAGTCACAGCAAATTGTTATTAGACACAGATGGAAAAACAGAAATACAATGAAGAAAAGGCGGTGTTGGTTTCAATTATCATTTGCATAAAGCTTCTCTGTTTTCCAAAATTAGCTATAATAATAGACCTTAATGGTCATTAATTGATTGGTAGATACATATGACCAATTGTCCATGTAGGCTTACAATTTTTTTCTTTTTTGTAAAAAAATAACATCAAAATAGTTTACAATCTATACCTTGATAGTAGGCTCACAGTTAATGGTAAATTATCTAAACAGTGTTTATATACCGCTATTGATAAACCTAGTGCTTCTCTCTCTATCAGGGATTTTGTAACCTTAAACAAGATTTAACGATTAAAAATTAATTCAAAATATTGGTTTCTGATTGATGATAAATATTTAATTGAAACAGCAACCAAATATGCAGGTTAATGGAATTTATTGCAAAATCAAGTGTTGAATTATTTCAATGACCAGTCATAAAAGATATATTCAAATTTCACCAGTCTCTGAGACTAAATCAAACTTAAACAAACAAAACAATCTTGCCTCTGGTACAATATCAGTTGCAGAATATCCAACACCACCAAATGTTAAAATAATATCAATATTCTCATTCTGACAACAACTTAACATCTTTGCCTAAAAAAAAACACAATAAAAATTTTTTATACAGTTTGCGAATCAAAAGAGCATTCATAATTTTGCTTTTCCACCTGATAAAGCTCAATTTCAGCTTTCTGATATCAACTTCTACTTTTCCTAAAGAGTGAGCTAAAATTAAGCTTTAAAACTGATAGAGGAAATATTTGGACCATTATATTCTTTGACACTGAGCATAATACTTTTCTTTTAAAAAAAATATTATTATGAGCTAATTCTACATTTTCTAATAAAACAACAATTCTTCTTCAAATTCTTTTAAACTGAATTAAACTGTGATAAAAGAAAACCTATTCCTTACTTTGAACATGTCTGATGATACTTCTGATTCTTCTTCAGTCAACAACCTGGTAGAGAAAAGAATATATGAAGACAGAAAAATTAAAAATAAATGAACAGCAGGATTTACTTCAATATCTAATGTTCAAAATTAAGTTATGGTGCTAATTTATCTGATATCTAGGCCTATCGGCTATTTTGAAAAAATAAATAAATAAAGGTGAAAAACCATCTGTAATCTTCAATAATATCATGGAACTCTTGTTTGGTTTCACAACTTGTATCATCATGACTCCTGTTCTCTACTAGAAGATTAGAAAATAAGATATATTAATGAATAATCAAGTTAGTTGTTGTCTGAATTTTTATTTGTCTATTTTGGAGTTGCCTCCCTTAGAACGCTTAGTTCGGCTATCTGATATCTTAGGATCTATTATGCTACAGACTTTTCCCAATGAACTTAGATTCAGTAAATGAATTCAAATGGTTTAATGAAAATAAATTTACTAAGATCTAGAAAAACATATCTTTTGAATAACACTCACAAACTAACAATGCAACTCGATAAGTTTGGTCCGTCATTTTTTGCCGAACTTAGATCTTTGTTGTTGTACTCTCCAAACCGGTCAGTTTAGCTTGTTTTCTTCATCTCTTGATTCCAACAATTTGAGGAAATATATTTCTGATCTTGAACAGAAAACAAATTGGAATATCGAAATGTATCCTAAAACATTTTGAATACGATTTGGAATACCAAATGAGAACAATTTTTATCGAAACAAATTGGTTTTAGGGCTAAGTATTTAGTCAATGGCGGGACTGATTTATTTTTAGAATGAGACACGCCTCCTGTTACTCTTGTTAACTGAGACATTTCTGATTAAAATCACTGAATGTTTTAAAGATTAAGGTTTGTGCTTATAATATTTTTTAACTATGAAAGTTTGCACGGTTTTTATTTGTAAGCAATCACTGACTTCATGCCTGCCAAGGTGAAAATGCTTTGTAGATCTTGTGTTTTCTTTAGCAACATAAATTGAGATCTCTGTACTCAGAGCAGCGTAGATCTAGTAGTAGGCCTACTTCTACTTTATTATATTATTTTAGGTTGTGCCTATTGTTCATGATTGTTACGGCAGTCTATGCCTACTATTTAAAACAACGGATATGTGTATACTGCCGTAACTAGGATACAGAAATTATGTTATTTCAAATTAGGGTGCTATAACAGTACAGTGGTGTAACCTATTTTCGTGGATATAAGGATTCAACACCGAATTTCGTCAAAGTTAAAAAAACAAAAAATTTTTTTTATGTCTTAGATGTTTCCTCAGATATTCTACAAAATAATTGAAATTGGTTTGTTTCGATTTTCTTTATGAATTCTTCACTTTGACCCATATTTCATGAGCAACCAACTCGGCAACGGCGGCAGAATGCGTCACCTATTTTCGTGTACAATGTTTGAACAATAAATAAGTCTAGAAAAACACGTTGTATGGATACCGGGTGGTATAATTAACTTCTCTTAGTATTTATCTTTAATATCAATTCATTATACCTAGTCACAATTCCTTCAAAGAACCACGATTTAAAAAAAAATAGTGACTGACAAAATAAGATACGTAGCGTGATTTATTGCTAAAAGTCACTGAAACAACATAAGAATATGGTCCACTTTGTGTTCCATAGAAATTTTCTGCTTACACGGAATCCGCTATTTGATCACGTGACTTCATTCGTTGGACTACATTTTAGCAGACGACACTTGGAATTCCGATTACGGCTAGGGATTATAAGGAAATTCGGCCGATAAAAATGGTGATGTTTGGTAATAACTGAAATCCGCCATTTTGTATTTGTCAAAGTATACATTAATACATTTTACCTTGTTTGCAACTACTGGATTCATTCTACTAGCTGATATTGTAGAGAAAACCCATGTTTATTAAAACAAACTAATGCGGAGGTCGCGCAAGGTCGCTCATGTAAATTATTAATCCTTTCCGGAAATCCACGAATAATAGGTTTCCACGAAAATAGGTTACTCGACTGTATAACTTGGTTAGGGCACAGATCCTGGACTTGGAAGTTCTGTCAATATTAAATAAATGTGGAGAAAATGATGTCAATGTATAGAAGTTTAAACTGACAGTTGAAGGGTTAGGTAGGAATATAATTATATTGATACTATTTTCTCCACATTTCCCATATTTTAGTAATAAGCTTATTGACAGAGCTTCAAGGGCCTGTGGTTAGGGCTAGGACAAGGTATGGTGACCATAATACCTTGTATTGTTTATTTTTTTTGAATAAGAGTATAGCTGCCTTTAAACCATAGGGACATTGTTAGGGAACAGTTTATTACCGGTACCATATAAAACAAAAGATATGTGGAGTCTACTGTAACTATTAACAACTTATTTCAAATACGGCCCCTATTTTGTAAATTAAAATTCAATGGCGATGTTATCACATGATACTAAAAAACCTATTTTGTCTTTATTAGGACTTTTGGTGACAGGAAAATAGGTTATTTATAGTAAACTTTTTCATACAAAGTCAAAGAAGATTATCATTTGAATCACCATGAACTTTCCTTGAAATTAAATGAAGAAATCTTACCCAATATGTCTGAGGCTAATCCACAAATTGGATTTATAAACATCAATGAAATTGGAAGTGGTGAGAGTTCAACAGATGGAGAAATAAAAGAAATAAAAGATGAATTAAAAGTAAAAGGAGGAGAGACAGAATCAAAAAATAATAATCATTTTACAAATTCAACCAAAACCGATGAGGTACGGTATGCTTAGTGGGTTCACATGTAGGCCTTTTTTATTAGAATTCTAATCCTAATTACATTGAATTTTATTCCAGCTACCTGTGTAAGTTTGTTAAGTTTTCAGGACATTGAAAGATGCTGAAATCATTTAAATTATGTGAAAAAAAAAAAGGGTTTTTTTGATGAAAAATATCAAAAAAACGATTTTTTTTTCTTTTGCCCTTTTTCATCATAATTGATTTTCTTATTTTTCCATGTTTATGTTTTTCTGAAATGTATTTTTTGCTTTTTTTTTTAAATTTGAAGATTATTTTTCATTCTAGCAAATACTATTGGCTGCTACATTGGTTTTAGATGCTAAACGAGGGAGGAATATCAATTTTAAAACTGATGATAAACATGTCAGGTAAGTGTGGCTTTTAAATCTGAAAAATTGAACTTTTCAAGTGAATCTACACATCTAACTAAGACAGAAAAACAAATAGTAAGAAAATTACATTTGATTTTCTGAATGGATGATACTGGTCACATTTAAATAAAGCAAACAATACTCCTGGGTTTTATTGGTCACAGTTATTTTAATTTCAAACTGAACTCAAAACTATTCCTGGGTTTTTATTAAAGAATGGCCTCACAGAGCTCTTAACAATGACAATACAGGTAATAGATTGAGATATTTTTAGTATCATAAACTTTTCAATCTGGTTTCTCTTGACAGTGAAGATAATAGGTCACCAGGTCTGATCAAAGTGCTAGTAATGTGCTTTAAGCTATCATGTTTCAGGTTGCTTTACAAAGATTAATGATAAAGTCCTTATTTTATGGGTCAGAATTAAAAGTTCACTTCTCCAAAGTGACATGTTCTTGACTGACATTCAGTCTAGAGTGTACTCCACACAAGTGAGCATAAATAAGCGAAGCGTAGAAAATGCTTTTTATTTTATTTTATTTTCATTTGAGCACATAGGTAATTAAAACCTGAAATATTTCCATTAGCTAACACCATTATTATTTACTGATGTTATCTTCATAAATTCCAGTTTTAATGCATCAGCACCCATATCAACCTTATATAATATATTACTTACAACAGATGATATTACATATCTAAAGGTTATCATTAAAAGCATTTCAACTAAGGTCGTTTGTTAAATTTGATAAAACTTATATCACTATTCCAATACTGTTTTTATGACTAATTCAGACTAACACATGCTGACAGAACCCACAACCACTAATTGTTTGACAATACCAAGCTAATGCTTTGCTCAGCTTATCACGTATATAACTTGTGAAGAAAAGTTATATTTTATCTATTAATCTTGACTGCTATCTCGACAGCTTTAACATTTTTATGTGTGCTGATGCAATACTGATAAAGTTGTAGTTCAATATTAAATCACTATTGATTACTATACACAAGAGTCTTATTTGAAATTCTTTCTTAACTGCAACTTACCACAGTAATGTACATGTAGATGCAGTAGCTCTGCAACTGTAATGCAAAGTGCAGTGAGTTTCTTCCATTAAAAACTTCTGATCATTATGTTATGTGACTGTCAGGTGATTGGACATAGGGCTGGTAAAGAAATAAACCAAGTAATAAAGAACCCAATTGCAAAACGAAACCCGAAATCTCTGACAACTTGTGACTTTTCTTCTATACCATTTTTACCTGTTTCCTTTATTAGGTCATTCATCCGTTCATTCATTCATTCTCCACCAGCCACAATGATAACAGTGATAGTTATCTGTCTATATATTTATAGTATAAAAACTAAGTTGACCTGATCATGATGACGGTAGTTAGTAATATGATAAAATAGTTAAAGAGATAAAATATCTTATAACAAAGATGGGGGTCAAAAATTCATAGCATTTATTATGTGGACTCAATTTTTGAAGATAAAAGAGAATTAAGGTGACCCTGAAGTACATTATGAGAAATTGTCTGTTATCAATTGATGCAATGCTAAAAACTTTTACATTATGTATCTATGATATTAGTAATTATTTGCTGCATATTGACACAGGCATTTAGGATACTGTATTGGATATTGAGGTGTAAAAGTTAATAGATATTTCTTTGCGATTTATCGGTAATAAATCAATAGATAAAACAGAGTTAAGTAATGTAAGGGCGTTGATCCCAATAAAAGATCAATTATTCACTCCAAAAGCTACTTTGATGTTAATGTGGTCCATAAACAATACAGAAATACCAAATAACAGTTTCTGTTATTAAACTAAATATAGTATTATATTCATAAGTTCATTTGTTTACATATATATTGTATTATTATGTTGTTTATTGTAGATCATATATTCTGTATCATAAATGGTATTTACGCTGGGCTCTGTATGCCTTTATTATCATCGATCTTAGCTTAGCCTTCGTAGAAAAACCAGCAGTTTCTTTTACTGCACCATATTGGGTTTGTATCATATTATTTTATTGGTGATTTCTTGTATTTGATAGGAGAGATTTGAAACCAAGAACAATAGTTTCAGCCAGCCTTTGGATGAACGTGGCCGCGGGAGGACCCGCTGCTGCCTTGTGCGTTCGACTGTTGATGATATTCACTGCTACCTCTATGATTTCCTGTCATATAACACAAGGGCAAGTAAGTCTTTATGGCTAACTGTTAAATTCTGCCAAATATGTTTTAGTTCCTAATTCTGTTACTATGGTAATGCTGTATTTTCCAGGCCACCATATTAATAGAGTTGGTATGTTTGGGATTTTTTATATTCCGATTCTGTCATGCTGCATATGTAGAACAATCGTCCAGTTTCTGGAAAGATACGAAACATATAATAGTTCTATGTACCATAATTGTAAGTTGTTTTCTATATCTTTTACAAACTGATAGTAGATTGTTTTGAGTTGTATCTGTCAATAGGTAGATATTGTCTTCAGGCTACTCTATCAACCATGTGATGTTAAGTTTTATGTCTTGACAATGGAGTTTTGATGCTTAAACAGTGGAAGAATTTCTTGTATTTAGACTGCTCTACTATTAGAGGTCTTGTCAGGACTCTTATCCTAAATATTCAATGCCATTGTTTTACCGAGTCAAAATTACATGGGGTCACATAATTTAAAATTTGATTTGATAACTCTGTGTTACAGCTGATGATATTAGATATAATATGTTATATTATTTGGGTAAATGTAGCACCAGATACAAATCCTGTAAGATGGTCACGCCCACTTCGCCCTCTCTTTATAGTCAATTTCTCAGATGGAAAACAGGTGAGAGTTCTAATAACATTTTTAGTTGCCTCAACAGTGTGTGATACTTAGATTCATAACAAGAAATGACATTGTCCAAATTAACACTTCTGTTCTTGTGGATTCTGTCTACAAGTTGGTTGTATATATCTTGATCAACTTGAATACTGAAAATCACAGATTCAAGATCACAAAATTCTTGCACACAGACTCACAGCTGCTGTAATCAAGCAATTGTCATCCAGTAAATAGCCATGACAGAGCATGTTTATGCTCTGGACATTCAGGAATAAAAGAGCATCTGGTATGACATGCTTCCAAAGAAAGATATCATGACTTTTGATTGAATTTATATTTGTAGGTGCGGAGAGCTTTCAGAAATATTCGTAAAACAGTACCAGAAATTTTAAATGTACTGATTCTATTTTTTCTTAGTGTTCTACTCTTTGCCTTATTAGCTCTCAAATTATTCTCTAAAAGGTAGGTGCATTTTTTATCTTTTATCTTTTATCCTATTTTGAAATTGTTGCATCTACCTCAGTCTTCAACATATTTGTTATAACAAAATGTTTCTGACTGTATGTTGAAGAACGTCAGTATATCGATGTTTCAATCAAGTTGGCCTAGAAAACTATTCTCAAAGTTTGGGGTAAGTAATTATCTAACTGTCCAAATAAAAGTTATACTATAATATTGCAGGAACTCATTAACGTACCCAAATGGTGATCCGTATTTTAAAACATATCTTGACTGTATTTGGGATTTATATGTTCTTGTTACTACAGCTAATAACCCAGACGTTATGTAAGTTTTTATTGAATCATCTTTAAAATTTTGTTCTCATAAAAGTGTATCAGGATTATAGAGAGAAAGGGAGGAAGAAATATTCTGCTTATTGAGAAATATAGGAAATATTTACAACATTCTTACATTTTTACGGTGTCAACCTACCACATCATCAAAGACCCTGATCAAAAACCTGTTTGATCTCATTGTAATAAATAGATAAAACCCTTTTATGAGTATTTGTATATTGAATGTATTTCAGGATGCCAGCGTATGATTACAATCCCTGGTTTGCTATATTTTTTGTATGTTATATTATTGTTTGTTTGTATATATTTATGAGTATAGTGCTAGCTGCTATTTATAATAATTATAAAAAAAATTTAAAGGTAAGTTGAGATCCATAAGCTTTTATATTTAACCTTGAATAATCAAAACATTATTACAAAATATCTCTTAAAGTATATCAATTATGAGAAAAAAGCTTCTGAAGTCTGCACTTAGTGTAGTTGTTCTTCCATTCACAGTTATATTTATTATTAAATGCTTGTTCATTCCAATCAAAACCATTATTACAAGTGGACTTAAAATTTCCAGAATTCTTCAAATGTGACTGAAAAACAAGTCACCATTAGTTCATTTTTTGTTTAATGTGCACTCCTTTGTTCATGTCATTGTCAATTATGATTTCAAATTGAGATTAAGTGAGCTTCTGTCACCAAATTTAATATTAGAAATTAGAATGAATGTTTTTACTTATAATGAATTCTGTGTTGTAGAATGAGATAAGAATATCTGTGTTCAGTAAAAGAAGGAAATTGAATCGTGCGTTTGAGATATTAAAAGATAAAGTAGGAGATCAATATGTTGTCACTCAACCAACATGGAATAAGTTAATGTCTGTAGTATTGGAAGGCAAGAGTCAACAACAATTAGATTTATTATTACATGTTTTAGACAATGATGGCATGAATTCTATTAGTAAGTGTAAGCTTATTTATCTTTCTATCTGTAGAATGATAATCTTGTCATGACATTTTGTGTGGTAGAGGATTTCTATAAATCAAACTCAATTTTATAGGGAAATCTATATTTTTTGACTATTGAAAAACTAGTTTGAATAACACTCTATGTTAAGCCTATACACATGTCAAACACACATTAGAACTGTTCTGCTGGGCGTGTTTGAAAAATACAACCAAATCAACCTCAATGATCTGGACACGTATTACAGAAATTCTTTTCCTATTTTTTATTCTCCTATGGGATTATGTTCAATATTTTAATTAAACTTTGATTTCTTTAGTTGGTACTGTATTTTTTTTTTATTAATAATTGTTTTGTAAACCGGAATCAAAGTTCCAAAATGGTAACAATAGTCTTATATTGAACTTGTGTTTTATGCGATGTCCTTATATGGCATTCAATAAAATTGAAATTATTTGAATATTTTTTAGAAAAGACCCAGTTTGTGAATCTGTCTGATTTACTCCAAGTAGAATTAACTGAAGTCAATGACAGAAGAACATTTCTAGAACACAAAATACCTGCTATATATAATCATAGAGTTAGTAATGCTCTAAAATGGTTGATTAGAACCAAGTAAGTTATATTGTATTTTACAATAGTTTCATCTCTATTGCTTATGTATGGATATTTGATGAAATGAAAGACACATATATGTACTTAATGATTTCTTCACACACTTAGTAAAAATGTAAAAATGACAAAAAATCTGTGCAGTGAGTCCACACAGGATGTAAAAATTAGGCTCAGGATGATGATGAGTTGCAAATTGACAAAATGATTTCAATGATTGTATTCATATTTAATTCAGGGTAAACCAATTGTTGACTGAAATGTTTTTATATTTCAGAGCTTTTCGATGGTTTTTTGATTTTCTAATTTTCATCAATGCATTCTTTATTGCCTTTGATGTGGACAAATCTGATTGGTTCTTTCTGGTGATTTTTACCATTGAAATATTTCTCAAGGTTTATACTTATGGACCAAAAAACTTTGCTACAAGATTTTGGAATATGTAAATATTGTTTTACTTCTTTTTCTGTTTTATTCGAGGGTCGCTTGATTAGAGAGTTCTGCATGTTTTAGATTCATGGAATCAACTGGAAATTCAATAAAACAGTTCAGAACGCATTCCACATGTGCCTTAAAAAAAGAGATGTTAAATTCAAAATGGCGGAAATGGAAATAGACATGAACGTTTAGCTGAAGCAGATCAACAGTTCTGGTAACAATCATTGCAGTATCTGCAACACTTATCAAAGGAAATTGTACTGTTTTATTTTGAGATCTATAGATCAGATAATAATTTTTTAATTTAGATTTGATGTATTGGTAATAGGTGCAGCTGTTTTGGCCTCCATCATTGAAATATTTATTGGTGCAAGTAAGTTACAAATTATATATTCAAGATTAAGCAATTATTTTGTAATTTGTATTCAATCCCAATGTTTTATACAAGTTATGATGTTTAAATTATATTTATAGTCGTAAATGATATACTATAAATATTATACAATATTAAACTTGATAGATTAGTAAACTTTTTTATCTCCAGGTAGTGAAGAGTTCCGAACATTAGATGTATTGTTGGTATTAAGAGTTATGAGGTTGATTAAACTATTTGGCAGTATTCCCAGGTATTCTTTGATTCTTATAGATTGGTAACCAGTCTGAACATGGATTTGTTGAGCCCTATTGAAAGCCCAAAAAGTTTGAAATAAGTGTATGGCTAAAGGTTGAATATTTCCTACTAATGATTGTTACCGTTGCCCATGGGCATGTAGTATGTCTTTTTAAGTATTTTATTTTATAATTTTTATATCTTATTTGTCTGATGCATATTTATGCATGCCATTATCAGATCTTTGAATTGAAAATAAATAAATTTGCTTCTCAAATAGGTTATTTCCACGCATTAAAGGGCATGTATATAAGTGAGTATGGTAAAATAGGAATTTATTTGGTACTGGAAATCATGTGTTAGAAAACTAATCTTAAGATAATCTTAGTGACCGATCAAGTGATTGGTTGATCACTAAAATCGAATTGAACCAATCAGATTATTGTATTTTTATCAGTTTTCAAGACGCTGTTCTCAGGTTTAAGCAGTTATTGCTGTGATTTATTGCCTTCAGAGATAAAGTAGTAATAGAGCAAGAATTTCATTGTCATATCTGGAGATTATCAGCATTGAGACTTGTCCTTAATCTAAATTTCTGTATATATACTTGTGCTAGCTTGCGCTGTAGAGATAACCCTGATGTGTATATTATTTATGTTTGTAGATTTAAAGTTATTATTATGACTATTGTGAATATTGGTCCATCTATTTTAACATATGGTGGTGTTGTATTTGTAAGCATGCTCTCTGCTTTTTTTGCTAGCTATATAGACGTTTTGCTGATGGTTTGTTTTGCTGTTCTTTGTACTTCAATTTAACTTGAATTTATTTCAATAAAATTAAAATTATTTGAAAAACTAAAGTAAATGGATTACAGGTTTTATTCTATAGTCATTTTTCTACAGTTTATTGAAATTTTGATACATGAGACAACACATTGATTAAAAATTAAAATAAATTGTGTGAGGCAAAACCTGATAAATTTTGTTTTATGAATTATATTTAAATCATTTCTACAAATAATCAAATCTATATTGCTTTATGAAATTTCATTTATTTTCGTTAACAGCAAGATAAACTATCATACCGGCTGACTAATAATTTGAAATGTTTAAATGGCTTTTCCTTAATAAGTCGCGCATCATGATTTTGAAATTTTTGTTAATGATAATGATATATATTTGAATGCATGGATAGCTTAATTAATGCTGTGCTGTTTGAGCAGATTTCTTTTTATTAAGATATTTGAATGCATAGTGACTATTTTCTATAACTGCAAATGTATATCTCTTTTTTAGACATAATGCTTAATTAATGCTGATTAGTCTACACAGTTATATTTTGCCTTTTCAGATTAACTAACTTTTGATTCTAATTTGTAGGTATTCTATTATTTCTATGCTATTATTGGAATGGAAGTATTTGGTAATAAGATTAGTTTCCATGGTTACAATGATACAGATTTAGACCCAGAGAAACAGACCTGTGGCAATCCCAAACTTGCCAAGTCTAATTTCTACATGTTTCATTATTGTAATAATAATTTCAACAACATAATGAAGGCGTTTGTGGTTCTATTTGAACTGACAGTTGTCAATCAATGGCATGATATCCTTTAGTGTAATATTCATACTTTCAAATCTTCATTCATGATAGCAGAAGACTTGATAGCTAATTATATGTCCAATGCTCCCTCTTGACATCTAGGTCCAATTTGAACTTTTCTTGATGTTATTTGCTTAGTTACTTCAAACAAGTTGACTTGTTTTAATCTTGGTTTGTGAAAGAAGCCGAAGCATTCTTGAAGCTAAGTTGTTATACTGAAAAAATGCTTGTTTCCTTCTTTCTTTCTTTATTATATTTGCATCACAATTTAAAATTCCCCTCTCTTCAATGTCTTCAGGATGTATATTTTCATCTTCTTATCTGTACAAGACTCCAATTGTCTTTTTTGTACTAAGACTGTTTATCCTTAACCAATGTTTACTGCTAACCTCAGGGTTTGTATTGGTCACCCATAAAGCAGCTAGAATATACTTCTTCTTTTTCCACCTGTCTTGTGTGGTTATAGTTCTTAAGTAAGTAATTTATGTTCAATTAATGTTTCTACTGTTTCAATTTCATATTCCTTGCATACAAAAACAACTCAAAAAGCAAGTAAGCTACTAACCATCTGAACAGAATAATGAACCCATACAGAATAATGAACCCATTCAGAATAATAAACAAACCTGTTCATAATAATGAATCCAAAATCCAAAACAACACATTTGCAATACATTCATCATTGGGTTTGTTTTTATATATCAATTACTCAATTTCTTAAGACTGGATATTACATTGTTCAGAACAAATATATGGAATTATATTATAATTATTATACAATTGATTTTCCAGTATCTTCACAGCCTTTATTCTTGAAGCTTTTATATTGGAATATTCTCTACAAAAACAACCTAAGTTAGAGTCAGCTGTAGAGGCTAAGATTAAAGAATTAGGACTTGGTATAGGCTAGTAAGTATAGTCTATTTTACTTGTATCTTTGTAACATTGAGTGTTATTTGATTGGGATAAAATACTTCAAGCTTTAGAAGATATTATGGAGTTTATATAGGGTGCCTTGGAGAAGGTATTGTCTGTGTTATTTCCAAAAAGTTAAAGAAAAGTTGTTAATTTTACAATTGAACTCTATTTGTTGTATATTTATTTCAGTACACCAAATACCACTGGTAGACCTACAATAGATACAATAGAACTAGTGGAGAATGAAGAGGTACCAGAAGACCCTGTCCCACCCCCACTAAAAAATCAACCAGATGATCCTCATGATGACTCAGATACGGAAAGTTTACCTGATCTTTCACAGGAACAGGGACTTCGATTTCATCTCAAGAAAAGGAGTAAGTTATTCCGTCATCTCAAATTATCCAAGTTGTTTTACACCATAATAGTTTATGTACGGAAGATTCAAGGTACCAGGTACTGAGTATATGGTCCCAACCTAGCTGTTGTCTGTTTATTGGGACAACAATTAGTGAGAACTAAGCTATGTTAGTATGCTGAGCAATTGGAGAGATCCGAGCAAAAAGGTTTGAATTGTATTAAGATATCTTTGCTTCATATAATCAAGCCCAGTAACCATGGAAATAACACTGGAATCTGAAGAATTTAACCTATAGTAACTATGGCTTATATTTACCTAGGTCGTAAGAAAAACACAAGACAATATTATGGAATATAACACACTTCTTTAATAAGGTTGGGCACATAACGTTTCAATGAAGTGTGTTATATTCCATAATATTGTTTTGTGTTTTTGTTATATGTGCTCCTCGCTTCTATATGTCGTTCAAATCTTATAGGTCGTAAGAAAGTGGAAGTTTTATTACATCAGATGTTTGAGGGGGAAATAGAAGCTGAAGATGAAGGTGAAGATTTTGAACAAAGACCAAGACGACTGACTCTAGAAAATATTTAATGTTCTCATCCTGTTTAATAGTTTAACTGTATTAGTTTAAGTTGTCAGACCGTGATTCTGTAGTTTGACAACAACAATATAACTTTCAGATAATGATGTTACTTAATTACCTTTTTATGCCCGAAAAATAATAGAGACCAATACAGCTGACTCAAAAAAATATTGAATAGTTTATCTTGAACATAATTGAGTTAATGAGTCACTTTGTTTTTTATTTCCAAAAAATGGAAGTGATTATATTGGTTTCAAAAATAATGTGCAATATTGTCTGACCATGACTTGAATAAAATTGGTAGAAATATAATATATATGTATAATAATAAATAAATCAAATATAAGTCTACAAGTAAATCATGTATTGAAAACAGCATCATTATTGTTAATATATTTAAATTCAAAACACCTAATTGTTTTCTGTTTTCAATGACTACAATATTGTATTGTCGCATTACAGATCCCAAAAATAATATAGTCCCAGGTTAGGTAACATTGCTAATCTTATATTCAAATAGTAAAATCCCATAACTGTATTTAATAATTGTATTTATAATTTCCAAAGTTCGAAAAAAATTGCGTTTGAGTTGGTGTACATATGTTCAAATCACTGTTTTAGACTTGAAGTTTTATGATTTGTGATATTTATATGTGTTCAATAGAAATAGATTATGGACAAATACTTAATATAGCAATATATGAATTAGATATTATAGGGATAGAGTTGTTTAGATATTGACTTTACAGTTGTACAGTTCTCACTATGATATTTATAATCCAATATTCTAGTTTTCATAGTGAATTTTGTGATATTAAACTTGTTTTCATTTATATTTTACACAGGAACAAAATCAAATTCTGCCAGTGGGGCTATATATTTCATTTTTGTAGTGTTTGAATATTGAGGTATTTTATACCTAATGTATTGATGTTGATTTAAATATTTTTCCAATCATGTCTTAGGTGATTTTTCAGATAAAAGGTAAATATTTATCAATATATGATAATCATTACTTTACTGTAAAGATGCTAAAACTGGACCAGTCTGCCTCCAAGTTGTGCATCAGAAATTTAGACAGAAGAAAATCAATAGAATACAATTTATATTATCCAAATTCTAAAATCAGATATCAAGATTAGCCATTTGGTTTATTAAAATACTCAGTTTAAAGCACTGTTTTATATTTTATGAATCTATAGTATATTTTTGTAGTGCCTAAATCTACTTAATTTATATGATCATTTATCAGCTAATTTGATCAACAATTGTTATATTTATAATGCCTTTAATTCTATAAGTTTAATGTAATGTATATAGAATAAATACATGTTATATTACTGTTCTTTCAGACTGTCTTTGAAATTTGATTATCAGTCAACTAGAAATATTAATCAGTTTCACACTGCAATCTTCAAACATCCCTATCAATTTCAGCCTGTGTCCTCACTTAATTTTGACTTATTCTCACGTCAGCTCTTGTAGTTTTAAACTCTCAATTTGATAACCTCAAGGATTTGAACAGTCTGCATCAAAAACCACACGTATGTTTCTATCAATAGTCAACTCTCTCTATGATAGTATATATACTATTGAAAATTATACCAAGTTTGTAAAGTGAAAGTGTTTATACATAGCTATAAGACAATAAATAATAGTACATAAAACAATAATATATCACATAATCTGAATATCAAAATATAACTACTCTCAACTATGATAACAAAATCAATTTTTGTGACAAAATTCATTCTTTCTACTCATTCCAAATAATAACCTCAAAAAATGATACCTATATAGGGAAACTATGTAGATGCTGATGCTTTGTACAATATACGACATATCAACACAAATCCACTTCAAAGGATGATTGCCTGTTAAACTAAACATCTTTATCACTATAATACACTATAAGCTAACAAGTATGCATTAAATTAAATATATCCCTGTCAAATTATATGATTAATCCCAGAATACCCTATTATTAATTATAGAAATCAAAATCATCATCTTGATCCTGATTGGTTGATTTATGTATTTCTATTTCTGTGTCTGTATCTAAATCAGATCCTATCTTTACTCCTGTTAAAAGAATAATATTCAATGTTAACAATAGCATAATATATTGCGGTTGTATAATATAGAATTAATATATTGAATGCTATTAAGTAAAAATAGTTAGCAAAATACTTCATGCTAGACCTGACCTGACCAAGACCCTAGATTCACAAGTGGAATAGGGTACATGTACATCAAATAGACAATATACGAAATGAGTTTATGTCATTAAAATATTCAAGTCATATAAACTTACCAGTTCTCTTAGGAAGTTTATATCCAGTAGAACCCTTGCTGTAATTGATATAAAAAATATATTAAATTAGTCATCAAAAACAAACTTATTCTTTATTGGTCCAGTCTAGTGACATAAACCTATTTAAAACCAATATAAAGAAAGATAAGTGCCATATGGCATTTATATTAATCCTAAAGAGGAATATAATCTAGGTCTCTATTCTGCAACTGTTTGAGCTGATAAAAAGGCAACAGAATATCCAATCAAAATGATAAAACTAGCAATATAGTCCATAATGAGACATGTTAAGAAAACAGATCAGATAGGAAACCAGAATATGTGACAAATACATAAAACAATTCAAATGGAAATTATACAAATCGGGGAATGAATATAATGACCTATAAACATGTTAAGTGAAAAGGTAGCTCTGTTTTCCATGAATTTCAAAGTTTTCAATGCACATCACATCAAAGTGTTGTTTTGGTAATGGATATCAGCTCTTTGGCTATTTGACTTCAATGGTCACTGGACTGCACAATAAATGACTATATACTTAAACTTAATAAGGAACATCAAGTGGAAAATCAGTAAATTATAGATGTATATCATTATGAAAGAAAAAAAGACATTAATGAAGATTGTTAGTATGAGTGAAGAAGTTTGTATACCAGCACTGGCTGAGGCAGCATAAATAGAAACTTTCTGGTATAAAAAAAACTCAATTAATGAAAAAAATAATTAAATTAAAGGTAAGTGATAAACAAAAAATGTCATTGGCATGCTGTTAGTATAAAAAAGAATACCCAGTTTCATTTCATTACATACCTTATTTCACTAATTCTGAGATTATTTCAAACAAAAAATGGCATGTTGTGATTGGTTGCATTGATTGGATTCAATCATACAAATCAACCAATCATAGATGACAAAGAAATATGGCAATATAGACTAGGAAGGATGCATGATTATCCATATCGGCTTATAGTAAAAATAGTAGAAGCAAATTGTGCCTGGACCCTGTGTATATCCAGTGTATTCACTTCTTCTCTATCCTACTGAATCAATTATCCTGTACCAGGCACTGTACCTAATCTACAAGTATTCTCAACAGCAATTTCTAAGCCAAGCAATTTCGAGAGACAGCACCATATAAATTTTTTTCAAAAGAAATAAATCTTATTGGATATCTCAGACAGAGTGATATAAAAGTATGTAATGAAATACCACTGAGTTTCCCAGTTCAACTGTTAGAGTAAAGATGATGTAACTTATATAAGATACCTGGAGTCTAAAGCTGTAGGAATATAAACTGGTGAAGGACTGGGAGAAAATGAATCTGTTTCAGATATATCATCACTGAAAATTGTTAGACAATTATCGACTATTAACTAAACTAAATAAGCTTACAGTTTTGCTATTCATGCTATACCGGCACATTTTCATCATTAATATCAAGTACCGGTACAGTAATCTGTCCTTAAGTGTGTAATTGAAGAAAGCTATCCAATCTATATCTAAGCTTTATGTTAATGGATAATGTTAAATAGCATATTTTACTCTATTTCAATATCAGAATCTAAAATATCATACTACATAATACTAATAATTAATGTCTCAGCTTGGACCAATTTTATAATTATTTCCCCCAGTTAAAGGGATTGTAAAACGGTAATTTTTTTTCATAGAAAACTCCTTACAATCCCTTTAACTGTAACAGAGAAGTGTTGTTGTTTCTACTCTGATAAGAATTCGTCTTTGAATTAAGTCCCTGGTTCACAACTTTCTGGATTATTCATACTCTTTTCATTGATTAGATGCCACTGATGATCAACTGCCTTCAATAGGTGCAATACATTGGCCTACAGTTATGAATTGCTTTGGCTGTTGACACAGATGTGTAATTCTACTGTCAATATTAACACTACATGAATTACTGAAATTTTCCAAGATGCCTCTCTAGTAACACCTGTAATATATATACCCCCTGTTCCGAACCAAGGAATTAATTTTCAAGATACGCAAGATATGAACTTATATTATCACAAGCTACAAGAGTTTAACCTTGTCATAAAACTCTAATTAAACCTTACCCTTTAGGACTTCGAGCAGAATGAATCAATCCAGGTCCTTTCTTAGGTGAGAAAATATCTCCACCTTCCTTATTCAGTCTAGGGGAGAGAACTGATTTTTTTGGTGTTCTTGGTGACAAGACAGATGCGAATTGTTTCTCAACATCATCATCTGTATCTTCTTCATCGTTACCATGGTGATGTGATGTTGTTCTGGTACCAGATAACATATTTTTATATGCATCAGTTTCTGTTGGAAAAATTACATCAAAATCAAAATATTTAGCTTTTAGGGACACAAAAAACAGTATCAGAACCACATTATATGAAGTAAGTTTAATATTGACTTATGCTTCATTTTTTAGCTTTTTGCAGGCTCTGCCTCTCTACTGGTTCTAAGAACTGTTTATCAAAAAGTTGCAAAATTTGAGCTGAAGAGCGCAGACGGAACAATTAAAAAGTTTTAAATGAGGGATTTATCAAATAAAAATAAACAAAATTGTCCTTACCATTTAATGGAACAACATTTCTAGAAGTTGTATTACTGAAAAAACTGGATTCTTCATCACTATATGGTCTATCAATTAAACTTCCAAACTTTAATGGTGGTACTGAAATATAACCATGGGTAGAGCTGATAGTACAAACTTATAGAGTGTAAAATATCATATCATTATCCACAGTTGGGAAGAAAAATTGAGATGGCCTGGATTTAAATGTGAATGAAATATGTGTGAACTTAATTAAATCTAGATAATTCTAGTGAACATAGCCCCTAACTGTACCAATAGTTCAAATTTCTTCATGAGCACAAAGAACTTGAAGCTAATTCACCCTAGTGACAACAGACAAGGCAAAGGCAATGAAGTATCAGTAGTGACCACAAAGCATACAGCTAAACTGACTGTTGTTAAGGGCCAGTGTAAGTGCTGTATTGTTACCTGTATTATTGGCTTGCAAGGTAGTTTTAGCAGGAAAGTTATGATGAGGGGAGGCAACTGATGATGATGCATCTGTCACATCATCTCTTTTTCCAGCCTCTAACAGTTGAACTAAAACAGTATATGCCTGGAGTGAAACAATAATAAGGGTCAATACTCATTTATGGGTAAGTTACAATAAATAAATGAAACTCTGAAGCAGACAACCAAAATCATGTATGTCCATAAGACTAATTCAGTGAAGACAATCGCACGCATTGTCTGGTATAAGAGCCCTAAAATGCACCATATGTTAATATTTCAGGGTCAAAATAATCTGAACTTTAAATTGATATAGTGGTGTAGATATTTGCTCTATAAACAGAAAGAGCTCTGTATCAGCTATCCATAACTAATTAGAATCTGATATTTGGCTCTTCTTCGATTCAACAAAAACATAACTTTGTTACTATGTAAAGTTTAGACATGGACAGTTATGACCGATAACATGAGAATTTTGATAGAGACGAAGATATTCTACATGTACCTTTGTCTGATAAGGAGAACCTTCAGCCACTAAACCAGGAACAAAGATGGCTGCCACTTCTTTTGGTTCCATGACTTTATACTCCACCAATAAATTAAAATGATTGAATAATCCATCCCATAAATCACAGGCATCCGTTGTTAGATTATCCCTGTACATAGGTAAAATCTCAATATAAATGGCAAGGAATTTATGATAATTTTTGTCTGTGTGCAGTGGTCTGTGACAGCCAAACAACAATATCAGGGGTGTTCAGCGAGTATCTGGCATGTTTGATGGAAAAATATCCTGACGTATGCACAGACTACACTTTCATATAATTTAATGCCTTTAAATCTTCAAGTTTTAATCCTTTGATGTTTGTCAAAAGATCGGTCAGCATTCATCGAGTTTTAAACATCATGCCTGTGACAGTAAACCCTATCTTTAACTTACCCTATTTTCTCTGAAGTAAGTTGTGTGATATCTCCCATCAATAACTCATCCTTCATTAAACCATGATCTACCAGATTCCTAACTACTAGTGTTAATTGTTCTAATATTACCATACTAATCAAACTACCATCTATATTATTTAAATTCTCTCCATTATTTGCTTTCCTATAAACATTATAATTGAAATCATAACATTTGGTTCATATACTATTTCCTGGCACTGTCCTGACAATCATGAGGCCTTTTCTAACAGTGTCACACTTTTAAATTGAGTTTTACATCTTGTTTGAGATTTGAGTTTTTGAGGGAATGCTATGAAGTGTACAAAGGGAAATTTTGCTAAAGATGAGATAACTTGTTTGATTCTTCTAATTTCAAGTATAGGAATTGCCCCTGGATACATTCATTGTATACAAAAAAGGAGATAGAGTGTTGGAATGACATCATTGGCATGGGATTGGGTTTTGAATCTCTGTTGGCGTCTGATGTCTTTGAATAAGTCATTCAATTGACCGAGTTACCCTAAATGGATAAGGATCATCAAGGAAAGACCAATTTCAAGGGTTTGGCCAAATACCAGCTGGTAAGAATGGATCAAGGTGAACCCTAATTGTTATCCATGTGAACCCTAGTTGTTATCAATGTGAACCTAAGTTGTTATCCATGTGAACCTAAGCTGTTATCCATGTGAACCCTAGTTGTTATCCATGTGAACCAATTTTTATCCATGTGAACCAATTTTTATCCATGTGAAACTAAGTTGTTAACCTTTTTCAACTTACTGTATTATACTAGAACGTTGATGAGAGTCAGATGGTGTTGAGATTCTGTAGTAACCTTCTACAGATATGGCATCTCTAAACTCATCTTGTACATATTTCAACAAATATAAAATACCAGTTAATGTTAATTCTGCTCTCAGAGTATTACCACCACTGTTAAATATACAGAAAATAATCAATCAATACAAAACATTTCATTAGCCTTACTTGACTGTTTAATCTTTTCATTTGACAAAAGTATGAATTAGAACTGTTTGATAATTACGTAGTTTTCCAAAATGTAATTTAACTGTTAAATATCAAAGATTAAGCCTTTTTTAACAGGACTAACATGACTGTTTAAAGTATCAAGCTCTTAAACTAATAGGGTTCATGAAGAAAGACTAGTACCATAAGAATGACATACCTTTTCACTGAGGTGGAAGCTACCTCTGTTTCAATAGACGCTACTGCCTCAGTTGTTCCCAGTAACGTTGCATTATCTCCACCTTGTTTATCACTGCTCTTCTTCTCAGGAGATGGTTTTAGTTGATGAACACCAGATAAGGGAAGGTCAAGGTCGCTGTCGATTTCACTGTCATCATCTGGGTCCATCGAACCTATAATTAACACGCTGTTATTAAAGAAGTGTGTTATACCATAATATTCCCTTGTGTTTTTGTTTACGGGAAATATAACATAATAACAAGATCTTCTATTTCACTTACATAATATTTGCCATTTGAAACTTTAAAAATACATAGTTTTGATAAACAATTTGCACTCGATAGACTTTAAATAAATCTACATCAAAAGAAATTTTCAATCTAGCAAACCTGATTTCCGAACCGTTGGTGTATTTTGAATAGAAACATTCTGAACTGGTTGAATATTAAACTCCTCTACTTCTCCTGTTCTCTCATCTTCATTTTCATCATCTTCTATGACTTTAACTTTAGTTTGATTAGTTTCTTGTGATTGATCTGAATGAAAGATATCTTTTCGAATTGGTGAGTCATGCACATCAATGTTTTCAGTGTTGACTTTTGGGGTAATATTATGTGCAGGAGAGGTCACCTGAGATGTGGATGTTGTAACCTGATGAGAGGCTGGCATGGCCTGATGGGCGTCTGGTGTGGACTGGTGGGTCGCTGGTGTGGATTGTGGGATAGTTGCTGTAGCATGAGCCGCAGTCTGTGAAGCTGGGGTTGAATGAAATGGAGGTTGTGACACTGGTCTGATATGTTCTGGAGATTGCTGTAGAGGTGAGACATCATTTGGACGAATTTCTTGTTGATTGGGTGTAGTTACTGGATTTGGTTTAGGTAAAACTAACTCTCTCCAATTAGGATATTTCCTTTCAATACTTTCTTCATATTGCTTCTAATGATAAAACAAAAATAACAATACTAAATAAGAAAATAATGAGAAAAATATGAATCCTTTGTTGGATGTTGGTCTTATAAGCTTTAAGAATTCCAAAATATTTGTCAACAAAAACCAGATCTAGTTTAAATTACACCATTTTGGGAATATTTGGTGGGATGTAATTATGGACATATATATCAATTATAAACCACATTTGATTGCTTTAGAATGTTGTATATTCCTATAAGATTATGCTACTATCAGTCATACCTTCAAGGCTCTTAGTTTTTCAGTGCGATCTCCCATGGATGCCAGATGAGAATCAATTCGTTCAAATTCTCGTAACAGTTGTTCATTTCTCTCTTTACTTCTCTGTTCATCTTGACAGACTTTCTTCCAATAATTGTTCAATTTGACCACTTTCAACTTGGCTCTAAAATTCAGCCAAACAACATTCAAATCAATGTTTCTCACATTTCAAATGAAATATAATATCAATTTTTACACTGACTATAATATATCCTAAACCATCAAGTGTGAAAATTCTTTAACAGAAACAGTTTTACAAATATTTGCTTCATTACATGACAAAGCCTAATTAAAATAAAAACAAATTGCTTCCATTGGACAGTTTTAAACTTTCTCCTCAGTGATTTTACCATAGTTTTCATGTCAATATTTGGATTATAGTCATTTAGCATCAAGTAGTTTATTTTACAAATCCTAAGCTTATTCATTAAAGAAGAACTTCATTCAAATATAAAATAATGTAAAATCTTACAATCGTTGATCTGATCTAAAGTATGTTTTCAGCTGATTTTCTAATTTCAATCTTTCTTCCTCACTAAAAATATATAAAAAAAGAACGTACTTTAACAAATTTATATGATTTTTGTCATTTAATTAAGAATCAAACGCTAAATAGGGCTGCACCTAGGCACCTATATTGCCTGACTGGTCTAGCGTCTTTCACTGTCCACAGTGATCGTTGGACACATATTTTTTTGTGATTTGTCATTTCATTGATATGTGATTCATTCAAGACTTTGTAAAACAACGTAGTTATTTGTCAATGTTTGGATTTGAGATTATTGAACAAATCAAATAAGAACATTGCCTCTTTTTAATTGAATCCGCCAGCTCTTTTTGTTTTTGATAATATTCCACACTGGAGGCAGCCATCTTGTTTGGAATGTTGCTACGTAGTTACCTCCCCTAAGTCTTTATGGCTCTGTCTTCCCTGAAAATTTTATGTACAGAGTTATAAAACCTGATCAAGAAGTCAGACATTCCAACAGGTGGCTGCAGTACTTCCGGGTAAACAAAACATGAACATTTTTGACAGAAAAAAATGTTAACGTGTAAATGTCTAAAGTAAGAGACTACACTTTTCTGCAAAACTCTTTAAATCTTAAAGATGGCTATTCCGAGAATGCTTTGAAATGGGTAGGTGAGTGTTAGACTTTCTCCTTATTTTCACATTCAGTTTGTCCCAGCTTACTCCCCAACCTCGTCCTCTCTACTCCACTACTGTCCACGATACTCTTCTCCTCAGTGACACTGACTATGAGCTCCGTGTCATTTCTTGCTCATTTCTCAAATACTCGAAAAAACTTTTAATTTCATGTCATTTGTTTTAAAATGTCTTGGGTTCTAAAGAGTTATATGGTTTGATAATATTACTTTTGAAATAAGCACAGGAATTAGATGATCTTTAGGTATTAATGAAGTCGCTAAGGAAAGGGCCTTATTAGGCTTATGTAATAGGTAATGTTAAACGATTAGTGATGTCATCAAACACTTAGTTTTAGTGGAATTGCAGGAACCACCGACGTCTGAAAATTGGAATGGAACAAATTTATGCAGTAAGTGTTCTCCGATACACATAAGAATTTAAAAAACCTCTTTACAATCCCTATAAGTAAATTCATGTCATGTGAATATGTTTAAGCTTGTATTTTTCTAATTGTAGCGTAGGTGATAGTTGATCGTGTGTAGTATTGTTATTATGAATCAGGCTATCAGCTGCGTCAGATTTCAAGATGTTTCACGCAGCTAGTGTTCATGTACCTCAATATCGCCGACCTAGTGCTCTCCGCACTTTTGTCACCTCCTCATTTTCCAGTCCTCCAGAAAGTAAAGAGCCAGTGAGACGTGGAATACTGTTTATGGCTGTAGCTGGCGTTTTTCTGTTAATTGGCAGTATATTAACATGGTTAGGTAAGAAACTAACATTGTATTGAAATAATTAGTCTGTACCATAGTAGCTTGAATATATATTCAATAAGCTTATACTGTCAAGAGTAGCATTTTTTTAAAAGTATTTTTATGATATTAACAATGTCTGTTACTGTTATGCTTCCATTGCTTAAAACAGCCAAGTACTCGACAAGATCTACAAAACCCAATCTGCTATCCTTGTAAAATATAGATCCAGCCCTCCTACTGTTATTGTTAGGCCTAATTCTTGAAAATTTAACTTAGATAAAATATAGATTTTAAGAAATGCTGCCATCTGATTGAATAATTAAACTAAATTTTAAATGAATATAAGTGATGGACTAGTCAGAATAGAACACTAAAATCATCTTTTTCTGAATTGTGTGTATCTATTGCAGGATTTAATGATGTATTTGGTGGTAAAATATCAATGACTGGGCCATTATTAATAGCTTTAGCTCTTTTACTGTTATTACTCTCTACCAGACAGTTCCTGAAAGCTAGAAAACATAGTCGTGAACATCCAAATAGATTACAGGTAATCATTTCTCTTTATAACTAATATTGCAATTAGATTGTTAGCTTTGTGGACCCTCTATAAAGAATGCAGTTGTAGATTGGCCGCAGTTATAATATCCAGTGTTATCCACAGTCCACAGAATTAATGAAAAGATGTCATCATTCTTCGCATGCTGATATGTTCGGGAGCTACCGGTATTCAAGTCAAAATCCACAAACACACATAGGTTCATATTGCCATATTTGTTGATTAAGAATATTATATCGTTATTTCAATTTTTTCACTGTTTTACAGTTAGGGCGAGTAGGACAAGGTACATTAAGAGCTGTAGTAGTAGATCGTAATGATAGACTAGGTGCTGTCACTGTTATTATGGATTCTTTAGATGTTGACAATAATTACGCTAACAGGTATATTAATACACTTATTGAATTATTTTAAAATTGTTAATTTCAATATTGTTATATTTAAAAAAAGTAATGATGAAGACTTCAAAAATTTCTTGAGACTTAGTAAATAAAGTATTTGGGATGCTCAACAAGCAACAACTGAAATATGGATTAACCAATTTGATAAATGGATTTGAGTACTATTTAGGGCTCAATTTTTATAATCTTTGTAAGACGTATAGAAGCAGTAAGGTAAACATTCAGAAAACAAGTTATATGGATATACTACTCCTAGTTTTCATACATACTATGTTTCGAAACAAAAAACTTGATAGCGTTACCCGTATATGTTTCGAAATGTAGTATGTAATATAACTAGAAGTAGTATACCCATATAACTTGTGTTCTTAAGGCTCAATTCTTATAATTTTGTTTATTTATAGACATGGTAGTGAAGATTATGCTCCTCCATCATACAGTGAAGTAGCTGAAATAAACACAACTAATAATATACTGAGACCGTATTCTAACTCAGATGAAGAGGAACCTCCTCCTCCGTATGATGATGTCATTATACCATCAGACAACATGATGACCCTGCACCTTCCAAAATATGAATCATTAATGGGCAGAAGAAGTCCTGTGCCAAAGTATGAAGACATATTCCGTTCAACAAATCTACCAGGTTCAGTTCCATCACCAAGGAATTCAATTTGTCATTCTCATGGTCTTCTCTCTCCAACAAGCCACCTCTCGTCTTGTATACATTGCACCAACTGTAGCTCTAATTCTCAAGGTTGTATGTCATCAAGATCTCCATCAAGTTCTCCACGACCTTCTGTTTCATACGTCCAACATAATTGTTCCGGATGTTGTTCTCCTTGTCAAGGTCATATCCAAGGTACCCAAGGCCATCAGACATGCAGTCATGTCCAAGGTCAAACCACATTGCATTTACCACCTGATTCTAATTCAGCCAATCATAGCCATGAAGGTCAAACTATGACCTCTAGCCAATGTCATATACAACCAGTAGCATGTTG